GGGGGGGGAGGGGGTGACAACGCCTCTGATAATTGCATTGAGTTATATACATGAGCATTCTTGAAGTGTGTACCGATTTTACTCGAGAGAATTATGTACATTATTATTTTTCATTATTTTATTTTTTTTATTATAAATTTTTCAAGGGGGGGTTATTAAAGGCCAAGCATGGGCAAAAGCTCAAAGCAGACATAAGCATAGCCTGGGTTCCTGTGAGAAAAACCATGCAAAACCTTCATAAGATATATTACATTTTTATACAAATGATTTATTATATATTTATACAAATAATTCATTAAAAAATTTAAATTTCTAATTAATTTATCATATACAGCATGTCACTTTTTATACAAACATTAATTTAAACATATCATGAGGACAAAGTTCGTCGCAAACGGTGATAGAGTGAGATGAATCCAGTTCTGACAGGATCCCAGTTTTCATAGTGACATAAATACGTGATCAGAAAGAACGAGAGAAAAACTGGGACTGAACCAGCCACAAACATGAATGAAAGCTGGATCTAAAAACAAGGAAGGATTAAGAGAACTTCGATTACTTTTTGTGAGGATTTTAGGCATCCAACTAACTGAGCTACAGAGCCATTCTTTGACTTACCCTTCCTCTAAGAATATCAGTCAACATTGTCAGGGGCATAACCATCCCCAGAGCCAAAGTAGCAGACAGAGAAGACGTCAAATAACAACCCCTAGTTTGTCATAACAGAATTCATATGAATATTTATAGTTTGCGGGACCTTTAGAGCTAAACTGCGCCATCTGGCTGGCCTTCACCCTTCACTCACAGGGACTATGACAGAAAGTACGTAACTGTATTATGAATAGAAATCACATACCACAGCCATAAATATTCGGACAAAACAGTCCCAAACACTGCATTTACTGTCAGAGAACACCACACTTGCCAACCTTGAGGTAACTCAAATTTTTCAATATTCGTCACATGAAGAACACAAAAGCCAGGCCATAGGAAAAGGATGTTAAATAACCCAACAAAACCTAATCAATCATATGAATATTTTATCACAGTCAATGGATCAAAACTAAACCTTGAACTAGATAGATACTGGATAGCTCTGTCATGCAGCTCTAAACTGTTCCTCATACTGTAGATAACTCAGAACCTACCATAAAAATGATATATTTTTAACATACCAAAGAATGTAGCAATGTCCATTTGGTTCTCGTTTGGTACTTTTAGTTTCAAAAGAACAAGATAACAAGAATACCTGAAACCATACATAAGAATAGTGCTTGGTACTTATACATTCGGATACTGGTTGCAAATGATGGTACTTACAATATAGCACCAGCCAGTGAGAAAATTGCACCATAGTTAACACCACCCTTGGTCTGATGTGAGTCAGAAAATGTGACCAATGCAATTCCTGAAATACTAGACAACAAACGAAACAATGTTAATCTTGTGTGCATAAAGGCGTAGCCACAGGGAGCCTGAGACTGCATCTTAGTCATTTATAAACATCTACAGATCACTCAGACGTTGAATTATTTTCATTTACGTACCTCATGAAAACAGCTACTAATTTGGAATATGAAAATCTATCGTTTTGAGAACTTTGGAAAATGGCGGCTAAGATGAGCGTAAATAAACCTGAAATATATGGAACAAGCATAAAATTAGAAAGGTGCAAATTATCAGAACTGTAAACAAAACTGATTCATACCAGAAGATGATGATAAGATATTAACAGCCGCTGGTGAGGTAAGCGCCAACGCTTCTTGATATGATAGAGTTGCTAAAAACCACTATCAATAATAAAAAAGTAGTTACAGTAATAAAACAAAGACATATTAATTAAAATGTCGAACTACACGTAAACATATACTTACCAAAATGCAAAATATTAATGCAATTTTCATCACTAAAATGACTGGTAGCTTTTGAATGGGAACAACTTCTGAATGATCTAAAATTATTATTTAAGTACATTGACTGAGCAACAAATTGATTTTCCTATTTTCATAATTTTCTTATTTTTAAAAAGTTGAGCAAAAAACTGTCAAACTGGGTGAACTCACCATTATCATGTAAATATTTAGGACGCTCACAATAAATGTCTTCATTTCGATCATCAGATTTATCCTAAAGAATGAAATAGTTTAAAATTTAAGATTGCCAATATATTTTTAGGCCAGGCTGAGACCTTTGTCAATTGGATTTTATAACAGTGGCAAGTACATCACTTTGGCTACAGAGCCTCGTTTTTGTGTATCCGGACATCAGTTAAAGGCCGTGTCTCAATCATTAAAACAAGGCACTATTGCCAAGGTGACACACTTTTTGGAAGTGCGTATTGCGATGTACTTACAGAGTTTATGGCATGGAAAAAGTTTTCTGAAGTGTTGGGAAGCTGTTTAGTTTTTGGAATGTTTTTCGTAGTAGTGAAGTATTTTTGACATAGAGATTTCATCCACACCCAAGGCAGATACAAAACAAAAGCTGTCGTCTTGAAGTATGTCGTAAAAAATGGTTTGTCAAATCCTTCATTGTGAAATATAAACTACAAGGTAAAAATAAAAGAATAATAAAAATGGAAGACATTGAACTTAATATTTTCATCAGAGACAGACTAAACCAAGGCCTCCCAGGCCAAGGAAAGGCCCCTTGCCTTGTTTACATTTTCCTGGCAACAGCTTAGCAAAAGCTTTACATGTCACAAACTGAACTATTTGAACTATTGAAGACGTACTATATTAATACCATATTTTATGACTACATACATCAGATAGTTCAGCAGAGCCAACCCAAAGAAGATCAACAAACACAAGAACTATTCCTCCAGTTATTAAGCGACGATAGTTGGTAGTTTTATCATCATTCTCTATTTCTTCTTTCTTTAGAAGATTCGAAATTTCTTCGTCTTCGTCCTCCATATTGGCCGCGCTATATTAGTCTGGCCTGGGCACTAATCTCTTTTGTGGTCTTTAAATCTTTATTTTAGGATTAGGATTCAGATCAAGGATTAACTTTTGAGATTAAATAAAATTTGGATTGCATTAGATTAAATAAGATCTTTGAAGCTAGATCCACACACGTAAAATTCTCACAACTTGTCAAGAAGATGTGTTCGCAACAGGCTTGTAGCAAGCTTGTCAACAAGTTGTAACAATGCTGTTATTTTATCAAGTTGCTACAAGGTTGTCACTCACAACTTGTTGACAAATTGTTGAATTTCAGGACGATAACAAGTTGTTGGAACAACTTGTACCAAGTCAGATGAGTTCAACAATATTGTAGCAAGTTGTTAACAAGGCGTTGACAACTTATCAACAAGCTGGAAACAAGCAGTGCGAACACATCCTGTTGACAAGTTGTTGGAACAGCATTGCTACAAGTCTGCTGCAGGTTTGTTACAACTTGTGTGTTTTTACGTGTATGTATAGCCCTCGTTCTGACACTAATCCTTGCCTAACCTTATAATAAACTTAATCATGCCTCAATCAAAACCCTACACACGCAAAAATCCCACATCTTGTAACAAGTTTGTCACTGAACAAGGTGTCTTCGCACTGCTTGTCACAAGTTGTCAACAAGTTTGGAACAAGCTGTTAACAATTTGTAACAACCTTGTTGATATTATCAGGCTTGTTACAAGGTTGTTCCAACAAGTCCAATACAGTCATGATATAGCATAATGGCAGTATTGTTACAACCTTGTGTCGTCAACCTTGTAACATTCTTGTTTTATACCATGACTGTATCAGACTTGTTAGATGTTCCAACAAGTCCAATACAGTCATGATATAGCATAATAGCAGTATTGTTACAACCTTGTGTCGTCAACCTTGTAACATTCTTGTTTTATACCATGACTGTATCAGACTTGTTAGAACAACCTTGTAACATTCTTGTTATGTCTGATAATGCCATCAAGCTTGTTACAAGTTGTTACCAGCTTGTTCCAAACTTGTTGCAACAACTGGGAACAAGCAGTGCGAAGGCAACTTGTTGCCAGCTTGTGAACATATTAGTAACAACTTTTTTTGCACTTGTAACAACTTGTGTGTTTTTACAATTTTACGTGTGTAATCCTAGTCTTGTTTCTTATAAATCTTTCAAAACTTACAATCCTGTATCCTACTGTAATCACAGAAACTTTGACAGTGCATAAACCAACCTTACGTGGTAAGGCCCATACACTCATGTCAACGCATCCTGGCCAATACAGCTAATGAACCTCTTGAGGGTTTATTTTCAATCTTTTCAGGTTATCAGACACCAGTTACCAGCATGGCAGCTTTATACAACGACAAAGTACTTTAATGAAAATTTTAATATAGTTCGTACAAATTGCATTATGGCGAGTTAAAATTAGATTTAGTACAAATGTTTTATTGAATCTGAATAAAAGTGTTCCATCCTCCAGTTCTGCTCCTTTCACTCCAATAATATCACATCAGTCCTCAAATTAAAGATCTCCGATATATTTTTTGGGTCCAGAGAATTCTTTATGCGAGATGGTGCCATCACTGTTTTTGTCTTCTTCAAGGAATATTTCACGGATGATGTGAGAATGACTTTTTTCTCCTGGTCCATCAGGGTAGTTCTGCTTCTTCAAAAATTTTGCAACCTGAAGAAAATAAAAATAACTTCATTTATATACAGGATAGATGTGTTCGTATTAGAGGTCTATCAACCAGCTTTGTTTTATCAATAACAACTGAATAGTTTTATCAATTCTAAACTATTCTTTCTTGTGAACTTGAAATGTTTTTTTCTGCACTTCACTTGGTTAGATCAATACTGATCCAAAAAATCCTCTAAAACCCACCTCATCATTAGATAACATGCTATCACCATTCGTATCAATCTGTGAGAAAGTATCAGAGACCATGTCCCGATCAGTGAATGTATCCTTAATCTGTAATAACTCCACAAAGAACTCGATGGTAGATTTAGGCGGCACCTTGTCGCCGACTGGCCAGTTGCCATAGGCAACGTGTGAGGGCACAACAAGCTGACGTATCTCCCCAACACACATGCCGAGAAGACCCAAGTCCCAACCTGTGATAACTTGACCTTCCCCTAACGTGAATTCGAAAGGCTTTTTGCTAAAGAAACGAAAAGGAATTTTGTTAACAACCAGGTTAGAAAAACAAAAATATACCCTGGCAAAAAGCGAAGATAACTTTATTTATGAAGGCTTTGGTAGATGGATATTTTGAGTGTGAATTTTATACATTTATTAGACTTAGCCAGGATTAGTTGCGAAAATTGCAACTATAGGCTCTCTGGCGGGAATCGAAGCTGCTGCCCTGCAATTCCGGTGCAGCGCTCTAACCAACTGAGCTACAGAGGCCAGTTGTCGAGATCTATCCCGAGCCCTATGTCTATATATACACTAAGCCTGAGGTGATGGCATTGTAAGATGTATGGATAAAATCCTGATATTTAACTTTATTTTCTTAGTAGTCTTACCTGGTTGGAACATAGGTGGATCCATCAACAAACGTTCCGTTATATTTCACAGCGATGTGATCACCGCGCTTTGTTACACGTTTACAATTCGTTGGTTTGTGAACGAGACCTACGCCGAAACCCTTTTCTTCATAATCTGCGCTTGCTTTACAACTTGAAATTAAGACTATACATGCTAAAACACTTCTGAAAAGATCCATTGCTGTTTAAAAAATACGCGTTGGAAGTTGTGTCCAGAAAAAACTAAACTACAAAGCAAAAATCCAAGGATGGAGACTTTTATGCTTGAACTTGGAGAGAGTTTAGCAAAATGACACATTGAATAGTAGTGTTCAGCCGTTTTATGCGTAAAAATGCCACGTCCGGGCCCTTGACGTGTGCAAAAATGGCGTTGTTTTATGCACACGGCAATTTTTTTTTCATTTTTGTGACATCTTTTCAATTCACCGTGACAACGACGCGAAGACAATGAAATGAATTATAAATGCAATCATATTTCAAAGCAAAGCTATTGGCATATTGCTGTATAGAAATTGACACGTGTTTCATAATCCGCAGTGTAATTAAAATTTGCATCTTAACAAAGTATGTAAGCCATGGTGATTTTGCGAATAAGAATGGCAATGTCAAAAAGCCGTGACAAATTATTAGGTTGGGAAGTTGTTTTCTTCACTGGAAGGTCTATATGTTTCGCTGTCAATCTTTCAGCGTGAATTTACAGTAGTATTTTTGTGAGACGTACATTTTGTGATTAGGAGTTCAATTGCTGTAATAAATACCGACTGCAGCCTGGAATTTGAACTGATATTGAATACGACATCAATTCAAGACTATTTTAATATTTTTACCACAGTACATATTGTTGTAACAACTTTAATTCGGAACCAAAATTGGTTTGGTTTTAATGACGATTCAACAGTATGTTAAAATATACATAAATATTACAATTTCTTCAATAAAATCTGTAGCTTCCAAAACTATCTTACATTATTGTACTGGTAGAGCTGTTGTGCTAGCTTCCTTCACCGCGAATTTTCTTTCACTAAAAAAATACACAATTTGTTTCTGAGTCTTGGGAGCGCAGTCACAGAATAGAGATCATACAGAAGATGGACTTCTTGGTTTTTCCTATGATTTTGGCGTAACCGTAATTCGTCATCAAAATGCTGACGCCAATGAGAGGCATTCACCTATCTGTGCAATGATTTACAGACGGGGGGAGGGGGCTGTAATCTTACCTGACATGAATCTTGGGTGGTGCTGGTGCTACCCATTTTAGTTGTTCACGTGGAGGAGGTGCGACTGAATGTTTAAATACACAACCAGAACGAGTACAGTTCTTGCCGTAACGACATGGCTAGGAAAAATAAGAACAAAATCTCTATTAAAAATATCAAGTTGCTACAAGGTTGCCACTCAAAGCTTGTTGACAAATCGTTGAATGACAGGACGATAAAAACTTGTTGGAAGAACCTTGTAACAAGTCTCAAGTTGTCTAACAAGTTGCAAGTTGTCAACAAGCCGTTGGCAACTTGTCAACAAACTAGAAAACATCCTGTTGACAAGTTGTTGAAATAGCATTGCTACTGTACAAGTTTGCTGCAGGTTTGTTATACAACTTGTGCGTTTTCAACTTACCTTATCGACAGGATGTAAGAACGGACAGTTTTTTCTTGTACAGAACGGATGGTATCGACATAATGTTGTCTCGTTTTCTATAACGAGAGAATTTAACACTGCAGTCAGCATTTGAACTATTATATAATATACATGAGGAAGAAATATGAAAGTATTGAAATGATACCCGTAGATTCCGTTTCTTCAATTTCTTCGTGAGAATACGGACAGGATGTTGACGTGCACCTGCAAATAACCACGACAAAATCACGAACGTAAATTCCATTCCTTGAACGATCTGTGTGTGCAGTGGCAATAACAAGAAAGCTTCGGATGGTTAAAGATACAACTGCCTGACAAAATACAAGTCTTCGCTCGAAACGTCGAAGTTCTCCTTGTGTTTTTCAGGTAGTTGCTTCCCTATCAATCCGAAACTTTCAAAACAAAATGTGTCGTGATTACTGACCTTGTACCAAACTTGCAGGGCGGATGTCCGTAGCTACAGTCTTTGCCATAGCGACAGTTGGGAAAATGTCTACAGGAAAATGTTCACAAAATAATTCTAATTCTATGCTAACACATATTATTAGAACTGATGAAGATCCGTGTTTACGGATTGAAACCTTTGCAGTAATAAAGTTACGTGGCGTTTCCACACTGTATTACTGCAAACAAAATATTATATAATTCTAACTCTGTTACAATAACAGCAAAGTTGAGCAACATAAATATCAGGTAAATGAAGACTTACTTGCATGTTATATCAGGATGATAAAATGGACATTCATCGCCATTCTTACACTGGGGCCAAAAACGACAAGTTTCCTTGCCTTTATCAACATCATCAAATTCCACATCTTCAGACACTAAAATAGTGTTTGACGTAGACTTAAATTATACACACAAGATTATCTCATGCACTTAAATATGGATTTGAATTTGTGCATTCCTCAATTCAATCGACAGCTTGTGCAATTTGTAGAGTTTTTGTCTGGTGAAAATACAGGTTCAGCGAGTTATACCAGATTATTTTGGCTTACCGTCTTGTATGGTAGTTTCCACTGGTACATGAGGTGCTGTAATTATGGTGGGTGGTGGTGGTGGTAGTACATGAACTGGTGGTGGTATAATGGGATTGAGGTGAGCTGGGATCATACCAGGAACTTGATGAACACCATGGATAAACTGTGGGTACACTGGCATAACCGGGACATCCCTGTTTATCTCTGGTTGTACCTAAAGTTGAGCAGTATTAAGATTTCAATACGAATATCAATATTTGAAAAATATAGCAGTATAAATGGGTCTCACAAATACGAGTATATACAGCCCAGTTTAGTAATACCTCGTCTTTCTGACCACTCTTGCGTCTTCGCTTCCTTTTCGAATGTTCTTTTTCATATTTTTCCTCAAACTTGGTAGCAACGCCTTCCAATGTGACAATAAATTTCGGTTTCTTCCGTTTTTCCCTAGAAAAGAAATACACAAAATATATATGCAGGTATATTGTGCGTGATTTCATTTGGTTCCGGTCTTCTGACATCAGGACCGCTATTTTTTATAACATTTAGTGCTGGCAAACTAGAAAATCATTTGAGATGCTAGTATTAATTTAAATATGTGTCATGTGTTTTGTCATACACAAACAAAATATAAAGTGAGACACTCTTTTTGTACCAAATATTAGAATCTACTCAATATTGCCTTATTTGAATATACTGTAATATACAAAAAAATAATCCAATGAGTCTTTTTTGGCTTTATTAATTAGATATATGTCATAAGCAAGCCATTATAAACAAGTCATGATTAAAACATTATATATAACATACTTAGTTTTAACATTTCTTTCCTTGTCTTTCCCCTTCTCTTCATCATCACTGCCAGAACTAGACTTTTCCTTCCCTTCATCAATTTTTCTTTTTTCACTTTTCTTTACTTTTTTATTTTTTTCCTTCTTGCCAGTTTCTAGCTTGCTCTCACGCTCAGGACTTTTCTCCATCACAATTCTGCTGTCCCTCACTCCAGTTGGTTCTTCTGTGTTAAAGAGATCATCGTCTTCGGCAACCTGCAACTCTAGCACTGGCTCCTGAAAATATCGAACAGAATCTTGCACTGGTTTAGCCACCTCAAATATATTTTTTGCTAGCCACTCAGGCAAGACTTTTTTTATTTATTGGTTTGCGGATTTAACTTTAAAAAAAAAACAGGTCGGTAGGTCGGAATTTTTTTTTAAAAAACACGTTTTTTTAAGAATCGAGATTGTCACAATGATAACATGAGCCAGCTGTACTTAGAGTCAAAGTTTACTTGGCATGTACTTCATGTCAGAACCCCAAATTAACTAAAATCGTAAAATTTTTGACATCCAAATTTTTTTTTATTTTTCACGTTCTGAATATTTACAGTCGGCGGATCTGTAAACCAATGAATGAAAAAAGTCTCGGTTACTCGTCAAGTAAAGCAATTTGCATTGGCTGGCTGTCTAAATATACAGTTATCACTTTGGCAATTGTTAAATCATTTTAACTTTCAGCAACTATTGCTGAAGATATCAAGTTACAATTGTGTTGCTGAACAGACCACATTTTTTCTGGTTTTTTTTGTTCAGAATAATATGAAAACAAAATATTATTACAGCTGTTGTTTCTTCTTCTTGCTGTGATTTCAACCTCTGGAGTTTCTTGTGCTCCTCCATAAGTTGTTCTCGTTTCCGTATCTTCGCCTCGGCATCGGAGATTGTAGGAAGCTTGGTGCTTGTTGGTATTTCTGGGTTGTATTCGCCACTGTCTGTAGACACCTGAGCTGCATGCATTGCTTTCTTTAGTAAGATGGGATTTGCTTGTTTTGATGGAGACAGAGTTGGTCTATAGAGGAAAATTCAAATTAATGCTTCGATCTACAGGTTTCAGATAAATATATGTGCATGTGCAAAATATATTATGTGTGTGAATTTAAATAAATATTCCAAACCTCTTTTGCATGGTAATAGTACTTTGAATAGTGCCCGAATGTTCCTCCTCTTGTCTGTGATGCTTTTCTGGCCTTTCTTGTTTAGCATTCCTTATCTTTCCTAATCAAGTGAATAGCAATGAGTGTTCAGTACAGTATAAGGAGACATGTACTAAGCATACAAATTGATTGAATTGGTAGAGTCTGTCACATAAAGTTAGTTCAAGGAAAATAAAATTTACGGCCGATTTATCGTCAGTTACCGATATTTTTTAGTAGTATATATGGTGGTATATTTGGTAGTATATATATTTCCTATTTAATTTTTCTTCTAAATTTAGAAATTGGTTTCCAAGGTTCAAAAAAATTTCTGTACCATCACTTGTGTTCTCCTGTGACGATTCCTCTTTCTTGTTGACGTCTGTGTCAGATATTATTCTGATTGGACTCGGATTTCGAGATAGTTTGGATATTTTCAAAGCTTCATTCTCATCAGTCTTGGCTACAGGTTTTGTTTCTGTTGATTTTCTCTTCAGTGGAACTTTAACTTCAAATGCTCCTGCAGAGGAAAAAATATTAGACTTAGAATGTACTGTATGGTGTTGCATATTGAATAAATCACTTTTGCCAGTATATAAGATAACACAAATTTCCTGCAAGGATATGTAGAAAAATTTCCTGCAAAGATATTTTGTTAAAAATTTCCTGGGAGTGGTGCTGACGGACATTTTCCAGTACTTTAATAGAGTGTTTGCATGTGACGTCATAAAAATTCTAAAAGCTCAAGCGTTTAACATATATAGTTGCCCATTTTATATATTTTGTATATCCTTACTACAAGTACTCCTGGCAAATTTCAAGTCGATTCAGTAATTCCTTCGCGAGTTAAAGGTGCTTGAATAATTTATATTGCTGACATCAGCATTATTTTGAAAGGCCGTTATAAGCTATGCGGTTTTCCAAACATAAGTCGAAATATTTCGGTGGGCTTTCAAAAGCTTTATATAATTAATATCAAACATAAGTGTGGACCTGTGTGATAAAATATAACTTTTCTTGAGCATTTACTACACGGCCGCCATGTTGGTGGTCCAATATTATGCAATCTCAGACCACCAACATGGCGGCCGTGTAGTAAATGCCCAAGGAAAGATATATTTTATCACACAGGTCCTCAATTGTGTTTGATGTTAATTATATAAATGCTGATGTCAGCAATATCAATTATTCAAGCCCCTTTAACTTGCGAATGAATTACTGTATCGACTTGAAATTTGCCAGGAGTACTTGTAGTAAGGATATACAAAATATATAAAATGGGCAACTATATACATTAAACGCTTAAGCTTTTAGAATTTTTTATGACGTCACATGCAAACACTCTATAGAAAACCAAGACAAGCATGAGAAATGGTAAATTTTGAGACATTGTTTACCTTCGGTAACTTCTTGCAACTTCAGAAGCAAATCATGAAGCCTAAAAATAAGAAATATACAAAATAAAATATTATACATTGTGGAATATATATCGTATACTGCCAGCAAGAACTAACCAGTCACAAAAAAGTTTACTGTTCTCCCCAAGAAATAAATTGAGATCCTCGATCATCTGTATCTGACTTCGTTTGTTGGCAATCATCACCATTATGTAATCCGGTAGCTCGTCATCTGAAATGTAGAAAAATGTAAGGCTTGCAGTTGTTTTCACGTGATGTTTCCTTGTGTGTTGCAAACTTCGTTCCAAACCATAATCAGATTTACAAACCGGTTTGTAAACAATGCATTTGCAGGGTTTTCAGTTTAGGCCGGCGAACGGCGAATTTCGCCAGACTTTTTCATTCAACCCCACCCAAATTCGCCAGAGCTTTTACGTTTATATATATATAATCCATGTTAAATATGTAATCCATGTGCAGGAATGATTGTTAGGCTTTTCCCTTTCGCCATAGCTTCATCGCCAGTAGCCAGAGCCTCACACAAAACTGAAAACCCTGCATTTGATTGGCTTCTTTATACGTTCAGGGACCAATCAGAGGCTTGGTTTACAAACTGCCTTGCAAATTTCAATATGAACTTTTCAACATCGCAATGAAGTTCGCAACATTTAGGGAAAAATTTATGTGAAATCCAGAGTGGAAAGTTTGTATCACGCAACCGAGATATCTGGTGTGTCATTTTGATTCTTTCTATATATTTACTATTAAATTTTTGAAATTTCGGTTGCACAATTTCCAAACTTTCCAGTCAGGTGTGAAATCAACTGTAACTGGCGAGAATAGTCCAGAGTAATACATTTCTGGGAATTTTCACAATTTTTAACAGAAGATTGCTAATTTTTTTCTGTGCAAAGCTTTACTCCATGATTTACTAGATCCAATAGCCCCAAGGTCGTCATACCTACATATGATCCAAATTCCACCAGCTTGGTTTTAATTGCAGTCTGAAATTATGAAAATAAAAAATATATCATATTTCCTACAAACTAAATTTTCTGACAGACTTAAATAGCAAATTAGTGTGGCTTAGCATGTATGGTAACTTTATGAAAAGATACAAACGTTTATAATTATTCAATATTTACTATAGTTCTATACCTAGTACACTGTAGTAATATAATTAAAATTTGAAATGAGATGTAAATATAAAGTTTTACTACTCGTCAAAAATAAACGATTCTCTTGCTGATAACATATTTAATAGTAAATCAAAACATCCTACTTTACTTACTTTAACTTTTTGACTGATTTCCGTACCAATCTCCATAATATAACAGTTTAAAAAGAGAGTATTTTACAACATAAAACCGTTCACCTCTTTACAAATTTTCCAACATGGCCGACTGGAACGCGGTTGTGCGCACGGGCTCAAAGTAAGCATTAAAATATCTTACATGAAGTTTCATGCTTGCTCCAGTAGTGTACCGTCGTTTGCATCTAATGATGAACACCCGCAAAACAAATGTTGTTATTCTGAACCTCGTTCCCAGGCTCTCTCCTGTGCAGTCGAGGTTGATCTATTCGGTCTATTCTCACGTGTGACTGTCATAAGCTGATGAGCATGAGACAGGCTTCAATCTGGTCTGCCAATCATGAAATGTTCTTCATTTCGTCACCCCCTCTCCTATTTGGGGCCATTGGGGGAGTGGAATTAGAGAAAGATGATTTTACAGGGACTTTATGATCAGGAGTATGCGCATTTTATATAGAGGGAAACGTAGTCTCAAGATTGCAGTAGTTACTGTATTTGAAAGATATTAAATAATAATATTCTTTATTCATTAAATTAAATATATTTGTATTACAATATTATCTATTTTCTTTCATAATCTCATATAATATATGCCCAACACAATAAAATGCAAATCTTATAAATAACATATTGGACCGATAAATACTACTAGAGACGGATTTATATCCACTGAGTTTAAAAAGAAAAGATCGATCCTGTAGCGGTAATCTAGTGTATTTTCCTATAGTTGGTCAATGTTTCAATGTCGTATTTATACCGCACATAAACTACGAAGATACATAGTTCCCCTTGACGAAAGATCCGATTGTGTCCCTCGTTTATATACGCAGACAAACCATCTTTTCTTTACTCGAGTTCGTCCAGACCACAGGTCCAGACGTTCGACGGAACACCCATCTCTAGTATGATATCGGTCCATTTATGCAATACTTGACGTCACAGGAATTCTAATACGATACATCGAAGTGTAGCGCATCTTCAAGTTCCCGAATGACTTGAGACCCAGTTTCATGTTTGTAACTTCAACTTCTGAAGACTGCGGACTTCCTTTCGTAAAAAAATCCATTTGCACGGGTACTTTGACCATCTCTTGAGTCTTACAGCAAAAAGGTGATTCGAACAGGGTGTTTAGTGTTGCCAAAGGTTTACCATTCAGGTAGAAGTGACGACACGGGTTGAAAGATAGTTTAGGTATAGACCACAACATTGTTTCAACGTTTGGACTGTAAGATACACTGCCTTTTGTAACATCCGTACAATGCTGTATGGTTCCAACTGAAGGTTTTCTCTCGGATTCCAGCCATTCCGACGGAATGTAGAACCTAGAAGAATGGTTAAAAATAATTAATACCACCGCCAACATCACCGTTATGATCATCACCACCATCACCATCAATACCATCATCACCATTATCAACACCATAACCATCGCATCATCATCTTCATCATCATCATAACCACCATCATCACCACTACTATCATCACTACCATCGTCAATCACCACTATCATCATCATCACCACCAACATCATCATCATCACCATCATCATCACCACCACCATCATCATCACCACCATCATCATCACCACCATCATCATCATCATCATCACCATCATCATCACGATCATCATCATCACCACCATCATCATCACCATCATCATCATCACCACCATCATCATCATCATCATCATCATCACCACCACCATCATCATCACCATCATCATCATCACCACCATCATCACTACCATCATCACTACCATGGTCAATCACCACTATCATCATCATGACCACCATCATCATCACCATCATCATCATCATCATCACCACCATCATCACCACTACTATCATCACTACCATCGTCAATCACCACCATCATCATCACCACCCACCACCACAATGCGTCTTTACTAACCTTAGCGTGATATCGCTTGCGGATTTCACTTCCAAATGCGTGGAACCAGTAAAAATACGAGCCTGAATCTGAACTGAACTGTAGCCACACACTGTAACCGTTACCTCACAACGCAAAGGCGCAGGCTTCGAACAACAACCTTTCCAAAACATCAACTGAAACCAACAATCATCAAACGGCAGAAACCTTGCTGTGACTGTCTGGTTGTTTAGGGAACGACTCTTAACACACTTGTGAAAACTAACATCATCTATGGCTGGCTTCTTTGAAAAACGTTCCCTGTACTTCACGTGTACACTACATTCAGGACTCGCCGATACTTTGGCCTTTAGCATAATCTGTACTTGCTTTAACATAACATGGTGTTTCTCTTGTTGTACAACTTGAGTAACGTTGTATTTTTCCTGTTGGGCAACTTCGGTAACATTGGGTTTTTTCTCTTGTACGAGTTCGTACATATCTTGTACATTGAGTGACACTTTTTCTGTCTCATAAAAAATTCCCGCCGGTCGAAAAGCCGGAAAAGTGGAAATGCATTTCTGGACAGTTTCTATAAAATCTAGCATCACGGTATAATTTGCGCAACCAAGTTTCACCCCCGACGACCAACTGCGAATCTTTGCGAGACGTCCACGCGTACCGTGTAACGCATTCACTAATACTGTCGTAAATACGAATTCCCTCTGGATTAACTTTGTTTTAATTCCTGGTATGGAGAAGGAATAAAACCATGTGAGATTAATCGTTTTGTTTGGTGGGGACGATTCAAAATCTTCAGCGTGAAATTTAAGAGTGCTTTCTTCCAGTTTGACCAAAACAGGTCTCCAAATTTTACCATTGTGTGGTAGCTTCATTCCTGATACCCGCGAACAACGTAGAAGTAGGCTCCAACATTTCATAAAAGGATTGTTTTCATCGGGCAAAAACATTTCCGGGTTTGTCAGAACTTCATATTTCTCGTCCACAAACGATTGGAAAGATTTAGCTTCAGTGTTTTCTGACCCGCCACCAAGTTCAGGCATTGAATTGAGGCTTTCGGTTTTTGCTATCGACTGGTCACTTTCAATATGCGAAAATTTGCTGGCTTCTCGGCAATCACTGTAATCTGATGCCCTTTCGCTTTGGCTATCTCCCTCGGGGTCTGAAAATTCGTCTTCATCATGAATTAATCTTTCCGTGCCCAAATCGTCCTCAAATATAATAGATTTTAATGTTCTCATGATGTTTCGAATCTTTTGAGTATCTTTATTTCTTTGAGTGTGGGCTAAAACCAGACCGGAGATTATTGAATAAAGTGATGATGTAATTTGGACTTGATGATAAGTTTGACTTTGTTCTTGTGCGTAGGTTTCCAATGTAGGAAGTATTCTACAATTCTGGTTCTGTTACAGCACAGCTTTTATAATCTCGAGATAAGTTATAAAATGCGCGCTATAATATAATCCGACTCTTGTCAGGAAATTCAGGCCGTCGCACGAATTTATACACCGTCACCGAACAGGGGAATGTGCGCTTCTCGTTATGATGTAATTCCAATTATTGAACTGGTTATAAAGTATATTTTGAATCTCAGCTTTTCATGTAAATCAAGCAAAGGCGCTTCAGTTGAATAAAGACTTTTGTTTGATAGGCGCATGACAAGGCGACCTATTTTTTAAGATATTTGACTAACCTCAGACTGTTCTTTGTAAGACTAACACAATCAGCGATTGCTATACTATCAAATTCCAACAATCGAACTTTAAACATCTCGTGACAAGTGACCAGCTATTGGGCAAGCCATAACTTGTGATGTTTCGAGTCTTTTGTGTAAACTCAGGTTTTCTTTCAAAGAACTCCAGAAGTTGTTTATTATTTACTTCCAACTATCTTCCAACTTGTGGTTTGATTTTATTAATCTCGTGATGAGTGATCAGTTATAGGCAAGTCACAACATGTGCCATGAAATGTTTATATATAGTCTATAGGTACTAGCGCAAAAATGCGTGCTGGCATTTCCGTGTAGATGTTTCACAAAGATTAAAACCAAGACAATTGTATTGAGCAGCATACATGCTGTTCTGCATTGTTTGCCTTGCCTTGCGTGGTCATACATTAAAATTAGGGTTAATTTGGTACTGCCAACATTGACATTGTGAAAGAATTCTATAAAGGAAATCCTGCCCCTTGGGTTGATTGCCTTTAATCGTATATCACACTTTTAATCTTATATCACAGAATTTGCGCGGGCGTTTGATACTTTTGAGGACAACTCCAAATAAGTACCTTGTAGACTCACCCTGCATTGTAATGTTGCATTGTGATAAATGTTGATTTGTTTAATTTGAAACATTATTAATTCATAATTGTATAAAAGCCTTTGAGTGGTGTATGACTTAACTTAGCCTCGGGGAGCTTAGGGTCCTTGTACTTATCTACTGAATTGGAAGGAATCTTCTCACATGCCTGCGACAGATCATGCATCACACCTCAGGCATCACACAACAACTAGTATCGATTGTTCGCTGTCACTTGACTGTGTGTTTTAACATGATTTAATTTGTGCTGTTTGTGTTAGGGATTAGGATTTAGGTTAACCTAAAATTCAAAGTAAGAAATCTTCTTCAGTGGGAGTTTTGTCTCGGAAGTTTTGAAATAAAGAATTTTCCCTTGCCGTTTCGTCCCCTTGCCGTTTCGTCCCCTTGCCGTTTCGTCCCCTTGCCGTTTCGTCCCCAACAGTTTATACACAGACGTCACCCGAAAATTGGTAGGACTAATTTTGGCGGCATTTTGCATCATTGCGCTCGTGTAAGGAAGGTTTTGTCCTATATGTTGAAGATTACCACAAACTGACAAAAACACAGTTTTCAATCCAGTCCCCCCTCGAGGAACTGACGTCCGTGTTGGTCTAGTTTTCCTTTCTGTCATTGTCTAGTTTTCCTCAGACTCAGTTCCAATTAAAATAAAGTAAAGTCAATTGTCACTATAATAGTCACTGACAACAGCAATATTAATATTGTGAAATAAAAGCCAAATATTTAAGTTACATTTCAAAGTTTCGGAATTTAAATACAAAAATGTGTATTATCCAGGCATACAATCCACTGAGATGCAATTTCAAAAAGTAAGATATATTGTATTAAGGAAGTGGGTTATAGATAAAACAGTATCTAGTCTGGGGACGAAACTTTTTCTCTCTATTTCTGTATATTCCACGGAGTTTGCACGAATATTTTTCTTCAGTGCGTCTGAAACTCATTAATATTCAACAACCGACGTTAATATTTAACAACAGGAAAATATGCTAATTAGGTGTTTACAACAATGTCTGCCATCATAGTACGAATTGAAACTGAAATACCCCCGTTTTCTGCACGTAGTGCAAAGAATGATTATGTCTCGTAGACGACTGCTATTGGTCTGGGCTATTCTCTTCACAGTTGTTGTATTAGCTTGCATTTATTTGCCGTATCAGGCTACGAATTCCAAAGGTAGGCGACATTTTATTCGCGACTTAATTGTTACTTCGGACAAATTGAAATAGTTTGTTTACATTATAAAACTTAGTTTTACCGCAAACCTGACTGCAATGTACGTTGTATTAACTTTATATTTAGTAACTGGTTTTGATCATTTGAAGTTTATAAAGCAAAATATATGATAGTAGCAAATCTGTGATAGCAATTAAACTACATAATTGTGACAATAATGCAACCAAATGTTGTTCAGAATTTTTTTCTATTTGTGTACATTTTGAGAAATTTGAAGTGAAATCAAGAAATTGTATATTTATGCATCTTTGTTAACAATTCCACAAGCAACTGTGCATTTGATGGGCAAAAAGAAACTGTTAGAGATAATTCTGTTACAATATATTTTATTGTATTGGAAAATATTATGTAATATTTTAATACATACTATTAATTATGTAGTGTATATATACTATGCCTTGCTTCTTGTTTTATTGTGTGTTTGGTTTGTATGTATTAATATTCTGAACATATCCAAATGTTATAGAAAATTATGACGCTTTAACCCCATGATAATACACCTTTTTGATAATTACGTCATGAATATATTCTTGGCCTGGGAGCCTCATTTTCATGAATCATGAGCCAATCGCATTCCGTTATAGCCAGGTTGGCCTGGTTAAATGACCCAGCTTCATGCAAAGTTCTTTTGCCAAATAATTTTAGCTTGCATTATAAAACCATGGTCAATTCAGCCAGGATGACACTCGAGTCAAAGGGGCACTCAGCTAGCTACGTTGACATTTTTCCATGATAAGTCCCTGGAAATACAGCTTGGCTAGCTGACCTCGTATAAATATTAACAACTTCTAAAAAACCATATCCTTATATCAAAGAACAGTTTTCGCTAAAACAATTCCTAAGCTTAAAACAGCCCAACACCTAAGGTAGATCCTATTTTTCCATACTTATTATGTGCATTTTAAATTGGTTCAAGATCGCTTTGTAATCCCAACACAAAGCAAATATAATCATCATCAAGATATCCCCACAAGAACCTCACCTACTTACGAAGTACATCTAAAGAAACCCACAACCACCCAATCTACCACCCCATCAAAGAAAACTACAACTGCAGGACCCACAAAGCTAAAGTTATGTGAACCTGAATTGTTAGGTAACAAAACGTTTATATGATTACAGCCCTTATAAGTGAAGGTTATACACTGAAACTGAGGGACATACAATTTCAAGTGGTGTGAAGTAACATGTCTAAGCAGTTTATATCATGATTGGAGGTTTTAGGGACCCTATTCTCAACCTACACTAGGTGAAGACTCATTGGCAGGGCAGGGCCACTGAGAGGGGGACACTTTGCCCCAGTTCAAAAGGGGCCCTCATAGCAACATTAAGGCCCTTAAAATTTCTTGATACAAGTGTGTGTTAGTACTGGATCATATGCAATAAAGTACAATATATTATAAAACACCACTTTTAAACGTCAAACAATTGACGTCATAGGGACCCTCTGGGAAACTTCTTGGTGTCCCTGGTAAGGGAAGGTGTTCTAACCAAATATGCCACCGGTGTTCATATTCTATTTTCAGTTGGGGCGGTGTATTGTAACAAGACCGTACCTCAAATGCAAGAGGTAGTGGAACAGCTCTCTAGTGATTATGATGGATTGGTCAAGAAAGGAGGAGCATTCACACCAACAGGCTGCATTGCCAAGAATAAGGTGCATAAGAAATACAAAGAAAAATTTGATATCAATGTCGTTGTTTCAACAGGCAAATTACATTAAAAAAATACAGTAAATCTTTGAGCCTTTGGCATAATATAACTCATGAATACTATAACTTACAACTCAATAATGTTCAGAAAACATTCCTAATGTATAAATGTCCTACCTTTTTTATTTATTTCCTTGAAATCCTTTCTTCTTTATAGTTCATAATTTCCACGAAACATCCTCGAGTATATTGGGGTTTAAATTTTCCCGCCAAAAGACATACTAGTCCCTAGTCCTCTGTATACGCGGCTAAAGTATCCCGTGACGTCATATTTTTCGGGTTGTGACGTCACCTGGGAGAAGTACATAGAGGTACATGAAATTACCAGCACGTCAAATGATTTCTATCTTTCTTTATGTTTCAGCTTGCTATAATAATTCCATATCGAAACCGTTCTCAGCATTTGAGGATATTTTTGAGACATATGCATCCCATCATGCAACGACAGATGCATGATTACAGGATCTTTGTAGTCGAACAGGTATGTCGTGAATTGATATAACACACCATACCACAGAATACTACACCATACCATACATGTCATACCAATACTATACCATATCATACCATACCATACAATAAACACCCCTGTTTTAAAATTTCACATTTTCAAATTCCCCAGGCAGGCAACTACAGTTTCAATCGTGCGCAGTTAATCAACATTGGATTCCTAGAAGCTCTCAAAATCTCGGACTATCAATGTTTTGTGTTTCATGATGTTGACCATATTTTGGAAAATGATCAAAATGACTACGGGTGCCCAGAAAGTCCCAAACTATTGGGCGTGTCTGTAGATCGCTTCAACAGAAGGTACGGGATCATATTTGACAAATCAAACCATGCTAAAAATAAGTCCAAAACATTGACTTGATCGTATGAAGAACAGAGAGATTTTCAAAACAATGAAAAGATAGTGGAACATTTTGATCTCTGGATGCCCCATTTCTATCTACCATTTTGTGGAATTAGGTTAAATATTCAATGGTTGGCAAAATTCTGCGATAAAAATGCATTAGTTATGTTCCAAATTTTTACACATTTATTTAATATTAGTTTAACTACAAGTTCATAACTTTATATCTTGCGACTTATTTCCTATAGATTTCCATACCAAAAATATTTTGGTGGTGTTGGAGCGTTCAGTAAAGATCAGTTTGAAAAAATGAACGGATATTCCAACTTGTTCTGGGGATGGGGAGGCGAAGACGACGATGCATATAACAGGTAATACACTAACATGTACAAGTGTTCCAAGGTGGATCCGAAGTCAGAGGATAAAACTGGCCAGCCAACTTCTGTACGAGGTGGATTTTTACCACAGATTATTTTAGAGTCAAGTTGACTTTTTACTGGCTGAAACTGAAAAGAAATGATATTCTGAATGAATTGCGATCACTGGCCTGCCATTAGATCAGTGATCAGTGTAGTATGTCATGCAATATACTGTCTGTACAATTTAACGCCAATTATCTTTGTTTCATTTTAGAATACGGGCAGCTGGTTACAGTTTGACACGACCGCGTGCAAATATCGGTCGCTACATGATGCTGAAAGAACACCATTTTCGCGATAAACCTGGCGGAAACAGGTAGGAGTATGGTAATATCTCGCCAGTGTAATAGACTCAACTCATAAGATGAGTCGTATTTTAAGCAATTTAAGCCTGGTTTCCATATGGTCGTAACGGTCGTAAAGATTGAGTCACGATCTTTCTCAACAGCTGAAATATTTTAGAACTGAAAATACGCGGAGTGATTATAACTAGAGAATATTTATGATTTACATGTGGTTTACAGGTATAAACTATTATAAACTGGCAATTGAGAAAGATCGTGACTCTATTTTTTCCACCATTACGACCATATCATATGGAAAGCAAGCTTTAAAACACTCGCAGTCAGTGCTTTATCAGATATAAGACACTCGGCTCAGTCACCTCGTGTTTTAAATGTAGTGTGAATCCACCAATGCGCTATACCATTCTCATTGCAGATACATGCTGTTAAAAACCTCCACCAAGCGTATGTATACAGATGGTTTGAACTCGGTGAAATATAAAGTACTAAAGATCACAGAGTTCCCTCTATTTACCCACATTCTGGCAAAACTCTTTGAAGAACTTGATGTCATGCCAAACATCACATCAACATCAACGATTACAGCTCCGATATAGTCTAGCATGTGATATCAGACTTTTTAATGAGCAGCGACGCCGTTTGTGATTGGAAGATGCTTGGGAGGATGCAGGGCGCCAATATCATCAGAAAATGAGAGGAGATGAAAGAGGATAGATGATACAAATGTCAAATAGCTACATATTTGACTGCCTACACTGTCCATGGCTGTTGTAAATTTTATATGAAGTCTTGATAATAGACAATAGATAAATTAAGCCTGGTTCTCTGTGACCACAGTACGAATTTTGCATAGGTAAATTCTAAGTTTTGAAGGATTTGTAAGAAATGTTTGAGGGAACTTATAGTGTTAAAACCGAGTCAGTTCCTCAAACATTTCTTACAAATCTTCAAAACTTAGAATTTACCGATGGAAAACTGCTACTGTAATCACAGAAACTTTGATAGCATAAACAAGGCTTTGGTGAGTTTGAATATTCAAGCGTAAAATGACAGATCGATGCTGATCATCTTAAGTGTTGCCACCGCTTACAAAGCAGAGACCACTAAAGAATCTTTATAGTACATTTATTTTCCAACAAATAAATGAGTGGAAAGGACTGATGAATGTAGGATTTCATATAGTGATTAGTGGAGATGGTTGTATTTGGAATTTTCTTCCCAGTAAAAAATGATGTGAATTCTGTGGTGCTCTGGAGCATGCGCAAAACGAGTGCACCACAACTGACTGCGAAGACCATTCGAAGATATACTATTTTGAATAAATAACAAGGCTTGTGATTCCGAACCATAGAAATAATAGGTAAGAGTTATAAACCGAGTAGGAGGTTTATAACTGATATATTGACCCGAGGACGCGTAGCGTCGTCCGAGGGGCAATATATCAGTTATAAACCGACTTTCGACTTATATCACACTTGCGGAGGTTTTCCAACATATTTTGTCATTTTCAAAAATTTTTAATGAAAAATTCTCGCGTTTTGTCTACAAGTTTAATCCAATCATTTATTCAAGGTCTATAAGCTAGTTATAAACCTCGGACGAACAAAGAAAACCGACGCAAGTGTGATATAGATATTATTATTAACCATAGAAAGTCTAGAAATAATATTATTAACCAAAGAAATAATAGATATGGTACTATTATGTCTAGATATTATATCTATCATTTTTATGCTCCAAACAAATTAACAGACTAAAGCGCGGATTTTTCACTAAGCGGAATTTTTACTAGCGAGTGTGGAGAACCCAACGGCTGGAATCTGAGCCTATCTTTACATGCAGAGCGGAAGTTTTCTTTGTCTTGTGATTTCTCGGGCGGAACTAATTATAAGAAAAGACAAAGAGAAATTCCGCTCAGACTCAGTAGACAAAATTCCGCTTAGTGGAAAAACGGCTCAAAGCGATGGTGAACTTCGTTTGCGAAAGTCTGTCCGCAACCAAGGATGTTATATTTATTGTGATATTGTTATACATAGTCATAGGGGAATAAATTTTACAATTTATCAATTTTCCGCTTTTACGCATGCGCAGGATAGCCCGCGGTTGTTCAAACGATCGTCCCACAAGCGGGAAGACAAATGTCGTTGTATAAATACGGAGAAAAATTTTGAAAACAGCAACTAACTCTGGTTTTCCTTCAAACCACGAATAAATCTTTCGCCTTTTACTAAAGATTTCCGTGGAGGAGAACAACAGAATGAGTCTATAGACTAATTTTTCGTCACCCTGCCTAACGGCGGGGGTTTTTACAAACAAATTGAAATTATTTACATAACTCTTTACAAGTCTGTAAATTGTACTCCTCAGTTCTCACTACCTAAGATTGTCCCCTGGATCTTGAATTGTGGTCACTCATTTGAAAATGGTACTTTAACATTGATAAGGAAACTGCAGATTGATAGGAACACAACTACTCAAAAAATACAAGGAGAACTTCAATGAGGTTCTCCAATGAAGTTCTCCTTGTATTTTTCAGGTAGTTGTACCCTTGTCAATCTTTCTTATTATTGGCAATACCTACACTGGCATAAACAGTTCACAATTAATTCTATCACTGATCATTACACATAGTTACTTACAATTTATAGGAAGGAGAAATTAGGAGAAAAATTTCACTCCTAAGCCACTGTCGTCCCCTGGTGTTGGTCCTTCAAACATTTGAGCTTTGTTTTTGACTTCTAAAGTTTCTAGTGCTCGTTTTAACATCCACATATCAATATCATGAAATTCTATGGAGAAATGGATAGACCATTATCAGACAGTAAAGTATAGGGTTTTCAAGGTGGTTAACAATGATAAACAACCATGCCTACTGTATATAGATCATGATGTCACAGCGCTAGTGACGATGTATCTGGAGGACAAATTAGCAATTTATGCATGATATAACTTTTGTAAACAAAGCAAATTTTGTAAAAGTTTATAATAATTTTGTATTAAAATGGTTATTTTTTGCGCTGTATGTGGTTGTTGTACCCGAACAGATATTGTTAGGGAGCATCTGGAGGACACTCTAAGGATTTGTGACATCAGTGCAATGGGTCTATACAATAGTGTGCAATGTATTTTCACTTATTCCAAGCACCCACCTTGATTTTTAGTGTCGTCCCCATGTTGTAGTTCAAATAATGTACACACAGTTCCAGTCATTGCATTATCTTTTATCTGAAAAACGATCAACAATAAAATTTCTCAAGTTTTAAGGTTGCTGCTCCATGAATTAAATCTCCTCACAGCACTGCACAAAAGATAAAGTATTTTCATACCCATTGATAAATGAGTGAGCCCCATTCCTCTGGTTTTCTCCACATAATGTAACCTCTCTCACCTTTCTTATCCTTCCATTCTAAGTTTCCTGAAAATTTCATTGACTTCATTAGATTATGGGAGGAAATACATGTACTGGCAGTTTGGGAAAGGTTACTTCTTGAAGTTAGAACTAGGCGTAAAAAAAAACAACCTGTGGTTCCGGTTCCCGACCGACCCTACTTTTTTTCTGCCGACCCTATTATTTTTTCAATGTGATTGACTGTGCGACCCTATTTTCTCCAGGTGGTTGCGGGCCGCTCATATAGCATGCCAAAATGGCGTCTGTTGTCACACTAATTATTGAACCAAATTGCCTAAATTCGTCAATAGGAAATAGGCATCTCTAGTTAATATTGATGTCCGGACTCTACTGCAAATCGCCCAGCAAAAAACCGCCAAAACCATGAAAAAAATATTCAAAAAAAAAATTATTTCCGACCTACCGACCTTCATTTTTTCACGATATGAAACCGGAACCACAGGTGTTTTTTTTATTACGCCCTAAGCAGGTAGGTAGGCCTTCTCCGCAGTTCAAAACTGATCCAATCACATGGTAAGGCCTGGGACCAGGCCACAACTTAACATAAATTAACTTCTAGGACCAATGCCATGGTAATCTTAGGGGGGTTGGTGGCTCAACATGGTCAATATATGATATGAACAACTAACCTCTTTTTTGGAGCGTTTCAAGCACCAAATTTATTCCTTCAATTGGTAATTTTCCTTACAAGTGAATTAAGTTAAATTTCATTTTAGAACTGTTATATTTTGGTGATGATGGCAGCAAAATGACATAGAAACAAGCCCACAATTAGTGATGGACTGGACATACCACAATCAGAAATTACCAATTCCAATTATTGTCAACTGCTGGCAAGAATATTTGATAATGACTGCTAAAACTATGTCTGTTTATTTGCCTCCAAAATACAAGACTACTCCATAGAATGAAGAGTTAACATCATTTTCTCACTCTGATAATTGACGGTTGACCACCATCTCTTGCACAACAGTGCTTTAATAGTGTTATATGAAAGAACATTAAAATTGTACAAACAATATGACAGTTTATAATTATAATGTACAAATGTACTTTGCGCACAAAATGGACATTCAAGACAACAACTCGCAAAAAGGATACTATTTATCTCCTTATTAAAAAATAACGAACTAGTCTGTGCTTCGTTTACATCGAAAACATACATCTTCTTGTGTTTATAATAGGCCAACACCAGATTACACCAGAGGTCTAATTGTCGAGCTCTCGTGTCCGAGTTTTGCTGAATTCTAGCCAACAAAAACAAAATATATATCAACATGCAATTGTGCCCTGAATTGGGGATATGTTCTTGTATAAAATGTTGAAAACTTACGTGAAAAACGGAGGGAACTTGTAATGCCATGGCCACTCAAATTTGGTCGCCATCTTTGTTTATACTCATAATTTATGCAATTCATATAATTTATCCCGAGTAAGTCGCATAATTTATGCCTAAAGTTTTTAATTTGAAATAATTTAATTGTAATTATTTATATTTAGATACAATTATTTATATGTTCGTTTTTATAATATATACATAAATTTAATATTCCAGGTGGAACTAAGTTGCATTGCACCTTACTTTATTATTTTACTCTGTCTAACACCAGACAACTTTACTCGTCAAGGGGGGAGAGCACTGCCACTCAATGGATTAATCAGATTAACCATTAAGTTGCACTGTGCTCTAACGCACCCTAATCTACTTTATTACTTTACTCTGTCTATAAACGCCAGCCTATAAACGCCAGATGTTACTTTCAAGGGGAGAGTGCTGGTGCTCAAATGGGTTAATACTGCAGCCTGTGTATGCCTGCTACACAGGCTAGTTGGTTCGCCTGTCCATCTGTAAATTGGTCGGTCAATCAATTTGTTAATTGATCGGTCAGGCAGGCATTGGTCAGACCCAGCTGTTGGTTGGTCGGTTAGTAAGTTAGCCAAACACAAATATCATTCAAGCAGTTCCTTGTCAACAACAATAAAAAATACCCAAACACATTTATTTTTACTGCAAAGCACAACGCACTAGACATTCTGTACACAACAGAATTCACAATGTATAACATTATTAAAAATAAATTTTATAAACCCTAAACTTTATCAAAAGCACTTTACAAAAGCTCAATGTGGAAATACTTTATAGAACACACAGTGAAATTCAAAATTGTGGAACTGAAATATATATATATTAGCAATTGATTTATATTACTACATTTGGTTCATCTACAAAAATGTTTCCTAGCCAGCATTTATTCATCCTTTGTGCCATGTTTTAACACTTTGGTGAAAGCAACATAGTCAAAATTTCCTCTCGAGTCAATTGGTGCTCCACGGTACATCATTTCAACCTCTTCACTGCTCATCCTAAAAACAGGAATATAATAAATTAAAGAATTGCAATAAAATGGCCTTCTGTTACTTATACAAATAATTCATGCCACAATTATTAGTAATACTTCAATTTCAATTACTTTTTAAGTGTAATGTGCACCAAATTCATTAAACAATTTCTTTTGGTATTCATCTGTTAGTGTTTAATACACACAAAAGTAGTGGACAGGCAAAGAATTCAAAAACAAATGTTTATCCAGGGAAGTTGACAGGGTAAATTTCAACAGTGCTTAGAATTTAACAAACATAAATATTTGTTCACTTAGACAAGTTTATATTTTAGTAGGTGCTAAAACTCTCCATATTAGCCAGTCCAGATAACAAATCGGATATCTAATGAACATAACCAATTAAGAAAACTTATGTTATAGTTTTTTCCTAATCAGCAGATATTAAATTAGCATTCCTCAAATCTGTGATCATTTTTGGCAATAAAATCACCCCAGAGTAGACATAGCAAATTGCCTGCAGGTTTAAATAAATAAAACCATTTGATTATACACCACAGCTGTGAAATTTCAATGAACATTCCTGATAATAATTTGGTCACATTTTGACAGCCATAGCTGGCTGGCATTCTTTTAAAACATTAGACTAGCTAATTATCCTAAACAATATACAAATTGCTTCAGTCCATAGAAATTTAGGGTCCAAACAACCCTTTCTCATTCGTGTCGATTTTCAACAAAGGGGAAAATTTTCAACAAAAGTGAACAATCATTTTACAGTTGTGGTGTTGAATATAAATTTTGAAATATACAACAGCTGTGTTTGTCACGAAATGTAACTTGATACTGGGCTAGTCGAAAGCGAAGTAACAGAGTTTCTGTTCGTCAAATTTATAATTTTCCCTGAGATTTTTACGCAGATAACCCCATAGGGATAGCACAATACAGGGTTATGTATATACAAACCAAAGGATAGTCAAAAGGCCATTTATCAACAATGATTTATAGATTAGACTAAATTCACATACAACATGTGGCGAATGGCGATTACCGAATGTTGCAAATTAGGCTATAGTATGCGTTAATGTCAACAATGGAATGCTATTTGGATTTGGGGACAAATTTAGTATATACAACCCCAAATATGTTAGCATTGTATAGAAAAGCTTATTTCCCTTTTATTTTTTTATCTGGGATAGTCCAGTTCATGAATTAAAGTTGACCAATTCTATTCATTTGCCAACAAACCCAACACTACAAGAATGCAGAGTCTCAGAGAATTAACGATAGTATTTTGTGAAAATGATACAACATGATATTGTCAATCTAACCTGTCTCCCATAGTCATAAGCAAACGTTTTAACTGATCTTCGTGCAATTTCCCATCGCCCTCCTGATCGAAGCAACCAAATGCGTTTCGTATAACGTCTTCAGGGTCGGTGCCGTTTAACTTTTCTCCAAACAATGTCAAAAACATCGTGAAATTCATGGGTCCTGGTGCTTCTCCCATCATGCTTTCCACCAATTCATCGTCGGGTTCTTTTCCAAGCGAAGCAAACATGTCTTTGAGGTCCTCGGAATCGATAAAGCCATCTCGATTTTGGTCGATCATATTGAACGCTTCTTTGAACTCCTGGATTTGAGCCTGGTCGAACATCGCAAAGATATTCGACGTCGCTCGTTGTCCGCGTTTTTTCGTTACTTTCTTGCCTGTACGTTTGCTGGCCATTGTAGAGTCCTTTGTGGTGTGATGGTAGGCGAAATAAACTGTGCTTGAATGGTGGAAAGTGTCCGGCAACGGGAGACAGTGTAGTCTGTGGTTTATTTTAATACAACATACCACACCTACGTAGTTATTCACGCACCATTCCTTATAAGGAAGTGATATTGCACTTTGATGTTTCCCGAATAAATATTGTACAGCAGCCACACTTTGGTAGCTACTTCAAGTAAAGATTTATGAGATGAACTTTCAGAAATGAAAAATAATTTAAAAAAAAAAAATACAAAAAGATATGCTACATTAAGCACTTTTTGTTAATACACTATTTGAAATATATATAGACTTATAATAAATAAAAATTCATAAATTAAAGTATGTCTTCACAGAATAAATAGCAACCTGAATTTGAACAATCCACAGACGCTTTTACTGAAAGCAATTCTTCCTAATTCCATGTTACAGAGGTTCCACACAAAAGCACTTCTCATACATACGTAAATCAGTTGTAACAAATCTGCAGCAGACTTGTAGCAATGCTGTTCCAACAACTTGTCAACAGGATGTGTTCGCGCTGCTTGTTCCCAGCTTGTTGACAAGTTGTCAACGGCTTGTTGGCAACCTGCTACAAGGTTGTTGAGCTCAACAGAGTTGTTAGAAGTTGTTCCAACTTGTTATCGTCCTGCAATTCAACAATTTGTCAACAAGTTGTGAGTGACAACTTTGTAGCAACTTGATGAAATGACAGCATTGTTACAACTTGTGACAACTTGTGACAAGCTTGTTGCGAACCATTGGTTGCGAACATATCTTGTTGACAAGTTGTGAGATTTTTACGTGTGCAGTTGGTTTGCCCCCGACGTCATTCGTATCATCCATGTCACACAGTCATACATTTGTAATCTGCGTATTTCTAATCTGAGTCTGTGTTATCTGGAGCCATCAAGAAATGAGACACGCCCTCATTAATCATTCTGTTCTTCCCGATTTGATAACCTTGATAAAATCGACGTAATCGAAAGATCCATCATCATCCAATTTCACATTTTGTAACATTGATGCGATCTCGTCTTCAGTAAACCTGGAACAATCATTAATTAATTAATTAATGATTAAGAAGTAACGATAATTGATTGAGATAGCGTTGAAAATCGATTTAGCAACATGCACTGCAGGTATAAAGATAACGTTGTCTCAATATAAAATGTCTAGATCATAGATCTACCTAAGAAAGATTGAAAACACATCAAGGTTTTTAGAAAGTCATTCGTTACGGTTAGGTAACGGCAATATCCTCCTGACATTTTGTCTTCGTTCTGTACGACCAAGTGTTTTTCATTTTTACGTAGTTCAGATATGTGGGAGCTTATTGAAGACTACTACCAAATCCTGTTTCAAGCGGGACCAAGTGTTTACCTTGCGATTTTAATTGCGATGGTACAATATAACTTCTAGTTTCAACTGGCTCACTAGCTCAATACAAACAGACAAAAGCACCACCAAGTAAAAGAGAAACAACACGACATCAAATGAAACAAAAGAAATGCAAATATATCACACTTTGACAGACTGAGGCTTCGTTCAGACACGGAACGAATTCAAAACTGAACTGAAATTCCCACGCCTTCGAACTGACACGGGACACAGTGAAACGAATTCGAAGCAGCTAACTGTACGAATTCCCGTGTGAAGAAATGGAATCGCACGGGAATGTGGATCAGATCACTTCAGAATTCGTCCAATCTCATGTGAACGAAGCTCATGATGACTGTGTTTACACTGTTCCCAGATAGCTTTCCGTAGCGACGTAAAAACAACTATCCGTACCTTTTAGGAACGCAATTTTCAGAGGAATTATTGCAACGGAGAGATGTTGTTTCGCTCAGCTTCTGAAAGTTGTACATTCCGTATCGGATAGGTGCTTTTTCGCGCCGCTACGGAAACCTATCTGGTACAAGTGGAAACGTAGCTAATGTTTCCTTACTTATCTCCAGTTTCTGTTAGCAATCTCTTCAACATTCCGACATGGATTCGACCGGTCCCATCCGCGTCCAAACAACGAAACGCGCTTTCAAATATCTCGTCCGGATCTGTTCCGTTCAATTTGCTTCCGAAAAGGGTGAGAAACATTGTCAGATTGATATAAGACGGCGACTCGTTGATCATTTGTTCCAAGTATTCCTCTGTGACTCCCATCTCTCCAAAAGCTTGCATCGTCTCGTAAAGGTCATCTTTGTCTATAAATCCGTCACAGTTTTGATCGATAAAATTGAACACTTCTTTCAATTCGTGTATTTGAGTTTGGTCGAACATTGAGAACACGTTTGATGTTGTGCGTTGTTTTGTCTGTGGAATCAAACTGGTGCCCTTGCTGGACCTCCAGCCCTTGCGACGCCTATCTTTGCCTCTCATACTTGCCATGGAGTGAAAAGCGAGATATTTCAGTACTACAATACGCGGCTTATCTTCAACCAAAAACATGACCGGCTAAAATGCAACTGATGATAAACGATTTTAGGCCAATCATGAATAAGCTTATGCAAACACGATGTCGACTGAACTACTAAGATAAATAAAACTTTTTCTGTTTTTTAATATGAACAGATATTATGTCCATCGAAGTTAAAATTGGTTGTATGTAACCAGCCAAACATCAAAATTCCAAATGCCATTGAAAAAATTACCGGTTCATTCAGTCACTAAAGTTACAAGCATTCTTGTATATGAATGCATGAGCACAAGCGATTAATTGACAATGACATATGGTCTGTTCTTAAAGCCGGACTAAATCACCTTTCCTAAGTCCACAAACTAGCATAATTTTGAATATAAATCACTTTACTGTGTGCCTATAAAATTCTCATTTAGAATCTCGCTTAAGGTAGCGCGTATTCAACAACAGATAAATGTCAGACTTAGTTCAGGTTTTACCCGAGACAGACAGGGATTTATAGTGCCTGTATGCAGGGTAACTATGTACACATCGAGGATTTTGTATGCTTAACGGAATGAAGACCTTTGTTTACCGAGGTTTATGTCGGGATTGATTCAAAGATACTTCGATATTTCAAGGTATTCGGCTTTGTTAAGGCCAATTGACACTTCACAACTTTTGCCCAAAACTGTCGCATGCAACCTGCTTACTACTTGATTTGCACTGCCTAAATCAAGCACACAATCTCACCTACGTTGTCATAGATGAGTTGTGTGCTTGATCTAAACAGTACAAACTCAAGTTGTATAAAGTAGGGTATATATAAGTACGTTGCATACAACATGCAGCATTAGGCAAAAGTTTTGTTGTGTGAATCGGCCTTTTAATAAGAGATTATATATCAATTATCGTGCTATCAAGGCCAAAGAGCTTTACTCGAATTACTTTGAAGTGTCACTCCAACTCAAACCATGGCAACTTTGTATTGTAGGACACCAGCTACACTGGAGATACCTACACACAGCCATTGTTTGCTGTTCGTATAAAACAAAGTAAATATAACTTTTGACACATGAAGCGGTTTTGACACACGGACTGCCTAACTCATTACAACTCAGTGGTGGCCGTGAAATTTGTTAAACAAAAATTCGGGATTGTAAATACTGACGAGACATGATTGTAGTTTCTCAGTTTATGCCTTTTTTTACTCAAGTTATTATAAACTTTAGTATTTCTATCAATTAATGTCTATTTTTATTATTTGTGAGGTCTATATGCTCGTAGTTTTATAGACTCAAGCAATTTCTTGCGGTTGAAAAGGCCACTGGCACTGTCCTGTAACTCCTGTGGATAGCACTATCTATGTAGGCTTGATTACCGGCTGGGAAGCTCCCCTCAAGGAACGGCCGGTAGCCTTCATACAACCGGCCCCCTATTGAAGACTAGTACATTTCGACTAGTACATTTCGGATCTCGAGAAGTAACTTCGTTTATAATAGTTAGTTAAAGGCATGCATTAACTGCTTTTCGGCTTCCAGAGCATTTGTCTTTGACAACGGAGTCGATGCCAGTGTCAGTCTCATATCGACTGAAAACGTGTTCCTTGCAGGGAACGTGTTTTTCAGCGTTCTGTTCCGTTATCGGAACGTGCTGTATATATCGTGCAATTCAATTACGTTCATCATTATCGCGTACGTGTTCCTTTTAGAAAACGTGGTGTTCTGCGTGCTGTTCCATTATCGGAACGTGCTGTATAATCGAATTGCGTCATTATCGTGCTTGCCTTTTCTCTTTCATCTTTTCGGCTAACCACTGCTGAATTCTTTCCTTGAGTTCGGGAACTGGTTCCAGCATGTCCACAGTGAGAGGAGCTCGACTGAATGGATCTGTTGGGTCACTACAATGAGAATGTACGAGTATGTGATCCAGATGATCTTGATACGCGGAAAAGTACTGGCACTAGTTGTCAAATAGAAATCCATTTTATGATTAAAACAACTGAATATCTCCTGTAATATACTTTATTTCGATTCCATATTTTTGTCAGAGCTATAGTTCTCATAACCAAACATAATTACAAAATTTCAACTAGTTTCATAAAGAATAACGAAAGATATAATTGACTGAGTGCATCAAAATGGATTTCTATTCGGACAACCCTTTCTGAACGCTGATTGGCTAAAATACGAACACGAGATCACCTGGATGTACTGAGTAATATTTCAAATCCGACTAAGAGGACTGGACTAGATGTCCAGACCGCGCAATCTAATCCAGTCCGAATTGGAGGATTTGAAATGACATCTCATGTCGCAATAAATCAATAGTTAAAGTAAGGTGAATAGACCTTGAAATTGATAATCAGATGATCAAACTGATTATCAATTTCCCGTTTGTAATACAAAATAACTGAAAAACGGTAAACTTCGCAAGGCTATATTATCCGCATTTTACAACATTTCGCAACGAAACATCGGAATATTACTAATTTTGTGATGCTCTTTCAAGCTGTGATGAAATTTTTGTCCAGACTTGTCTAGATCAAAATTTCACTCAAAAGGGGAAAGGTCTATTAATTTTGATCCAGGATCAATACACTTCATCAGGTATCCAGTATCATATAAGCAAAATAAAGCAATTTGATTGGCTAATTTACTCATGAATTATTAATGAGTTTGAGATCAATAAACGAATAATATAATGAGTGAATGAGTATATGAAAGTGTTTACTGATATACCAAAAAGAGTTATATTAAAACGCTAGTCAAAATGAATCTAGACAGCCTTTTTCCCTAAATATTTGTCATCTGAAGTTTCATAACTCATCCACTGGTTCATATACATTTATTAAACCTAACCAGGAGCGGTTGTGAAAAATGCAACTACCGTATTTACTCCATTGAGCGCCGCCCCCGATTGAGCGCCGCCCCCGAATGAGCGCCGCATTTGAGATCAAATTTTTTTAAAGAGCGCCGCCCCCGAATGAGCGCCGCACTAAACAGTGTAAAAATTTTCAGCCGTCAAATTGGGACTTTTAGTAACAAAAACCTTTTAAAACTTGTCTATTTTATAGTTAAAAGTTCTTGTCATAATTCACAAATATGAGATCAAATTTTTTTAAAGAGCGCCGCCCCCGAATGAGCGCCGCACCCCGAATGAGCGCCGCACCTGAAGCTCTGAAAATTTAAAGAGCGCCGCGGCGCTTAAACGAGTAAATACGGTATATAGGTCCTCTGGCAGGAATCAAACCGGCGGTCCTGCGATTTCGGTGCAGCGGTTACCTGAGTAAATGTCTCATAATCACAGGTTTATCGACGATATGACCAGAAGGTAACTTCACAGGATCTGACATTAACGAGCACATGATTGCATCCAGGAACTCGTCTGGTGCCTAAAGAATACAAAGAGCACAATTTACACTTTACTGAAAAGAACAGTTTCTCGTAGCGAAGAAACAAACCTCGGGAAGCGCTTCATCGATATCTTTTTGTTGTTCTACCAGTCCTTGTATTTTTTCACCGAGAGCACGCCAGTTGTCAATCTTTTCTACATCTGTTCTGATTTGTCTAAACAACAACGAAAGATCGGTGTCGTTCTTAGAACTAAAAATTCACAAGTTTCCAAGTGATCAGCTTTAACCCATGAACCTATTTGAAAGGCAAAGCTTCGGTCGAACGAGAGTTTGAACGCGCGTGGTAATATCCAGTCAACTCTCATTAACTCTCATGCAACTTTTGTTCTCGTTTGACCAAGGCATAAGAGTCGAAAAAACTCTGATGCAAACTGTCGCTTCTCAACTCTCATGCAACTCCTGTTCTCATTTGACCAGGGCATAAGAGTTGAGAAAACTCTGATGTAAACTCTGCTTCTCAACTCTCAAGCAACTCTTGTTCTCGTTTGACCGAGGCATCAGAGTTGAGAAAACTCTCACGCAAACTCTCGCTTCTCAACTCTCACCAACTCTCATGTAACTCTTGTTCTCGTTTGACCGAGGCAAGAGAGTTGAGAAAACTCTGATGTAAACTCTCACTTCCCAACTCTCATGAGTTATTACACATGCTAAAATACTGACCCCAAAACTCGTTCGGCTTCATGAAACAAAGAGATGGAATAAGATCTGTCATCTTCTCCGACTGCTTTACAAAATATATCGTTCTCGTCATCCTGAGCAAGGTTCGTGTAAATAGTCACGATATCAAATACCAGCTGTTGAGGTTTGAAATGCATTTCTCCAAAATTTTTGACCTAAAAATGATTTGCGTGAATATGAATTAGCCTTTTCCTACTGTGTGGTTTCAGCGTGGCAAGCGACGAACATTTTCGCAGTATTTCGACCAAAAGTAAGATTACCTTTAGAGCTCCCATTTTTTTTCTATCAACAAGACGAACAAGAAAGTAATTCAACATGCCAGCAATTCTTGCAACCATGGCAGAACTTCGAAATGGTCTAAAAATATAGTATAAAATACGGCTAAGAGATATATAGGAAAGCTTTGGATTGCTAGCGATGCAAATACAATTCAAAGCTTTCTTATAATGGCACTATCTATACACTGGCACACACGGTTCAAGATTTTATAAAAATATACCCCTTTCAATAAGGTAATTGCGAATTATAAAGATACAACTATGTGTCTCATGTAATTCGAAACCATATCTATATAATCTAGTGATTATGATTTTAATTTTGTTTGTAAAAACCCCCGCCATTAGGCAGGGTGACGAAAAATTAGTCTATAGACTCATTCTGTTGTTCTCCTCCACGGAAATCTTTAGTAAAAGGCGAAAGATTTATTCGTGGTTTGAAGGAAAACCAGAGTTAGTTACTGTTGACAGGCCATCTGTCACTATTTGTACTACAAAGTGCTGCGTTTGGCATGTGGGACGCTTCGATGAAGAGCTGATGTAGTTATTAAATACATGTGCATAAATTAGGAAACCAATGAATTGTAAAATTTATTCAGGTCTAAGCATTTGCTGTCACAGAATTGAGTATTCTGTGGTCACAGAATAGAGTATTCTGTGGTCAATTGATACATATATATACTAAAGGAATTTTCAATCTTAATTGCGTGCCCTAAACGAAGTTAGGCACACTTTATATGCGCTTGTGGGTGCAAGCCGCCAACGTGCTGTTTTGCGCATGCTCCAGAACACCACACGGTAGATTGACTATGTGAAGTTTTTAAACGAAACATTACGAACATTCATTGTCAGGATTTTACCATAAATATATGGTATCATGGCTCTTCAATAAGAATTTATCCTTTAGACTATTAAAGTCTCACAGTGCAACATAAACCATACCCTTTAATTTCAACAGTAAGATAAGCGAGTGTTTTCACTGTTTCATTCGCCAGAATATTGTGAGTGCGTGCCATCCTTATAGAGCCTTCCAGTTCACGTTGTTTCTGAAGAAAAGTGAGAAATCACGAAAAATTTGAGACTATCTCGCGGGTTACTTTGGGCTTGTAACAAACCTACAGGAGACTTGTAGCAATGCTGTTCAAAACAACTTGTCAGCAGGATGTGTTCGCACTGCTTGTTCCCAGCTTGTTGACAACTTGCTACAAGGTTGTTGAACTCAACAGAGTTGTTTTACGAGTTGTTCCAACAACTTGTTATCTTCCTACAATTCAACAATTTGTCAACAAGTTGTGAGTGACAACCTTGTAGCAACTTGATAAAATAACAGCATTGTTACAACTTGTTGAAAAGCTTGCTACAAAACTGTTACAAGTTGACAAGTTACGAGATTTTTACGTGTGCAATTTGGAAGCAGCACCAAAATAGGCCATTTTGTGAAATGAACTTACTTCCACTTTAGCATTCGGTGTTTCAAGTCGTTCCCAATCCCCCTGATCACGTTCGATTTGTAGATTCTTCACAGTACTAAGATACTACAACAATAACACAACTTCGTTATTAGATATTCATTTATAGACTTGACGAGGACACAGAATAGGAAGTTATGCCAGAAGCGTAACTCTAGTCGTTTCCCTTATTGTTTGACGTCCACGAAAATTTTAACTCGCTCACGTCAGGCCACGCCATCCTGGCTAGTACAGCCGGAAGTTTTTATCAGGATTTGGTAGGTACAAAGTGCCGGTTGTACTAGCCAGATGGCGTGATTGATGACGAATCGCTTGTAAAAACGCGGACAAATATTTGCTCGAGTTACGCTTCTGGTATAACTTCCTATTCTGTGACGAGGAGGAGCTGCGTCAGATGCAACTATGAGCCCTCTGGCAGTTAGAACTTGTGGTCAGCGCTCAACAACTAGACTCAGTAGCGGAGTTGGTTAGAGCGCTACACCTAACAGATTGTGCTGCGCCTTCTATTTTGTCATTTTCCACGATCTAATGCCACAAGGCAGCGTAACAAATGGTAAAATGCATGACACTCACTGACAAAGCTTCGTCAAGCAAAAATGTTGCATCATTTACAAGCAAGTTAATGAAACGAAGAAATACTGGTGGATCACTTGAATTATCCACGTCATCCGCCTAAAACAACAAAATTCGTAGAACTGAACCAACTTTATTTAGATTGGATGGCACTATCATGAGTATCAGTTCTAAACTGTTCCTCCTTGAGATCCAGTAAGAATCATCTCTTATTGATCCAGTGTTACTACAGGAGGAAACGTAAACTAAACTAACTTTATTTATACTGGATAGCTTTATCAGTTCTAAACTGTTCCTCCTTGAGGTCCAGTAAGAATCATCTCTTATTGATCCAGTGTTACTACAGGAGGAAACGTAAACTAAACTAACTTTATTTATACTGGATGGCTCTATCAGTTCTAAACTGTTCTTCCCAGAGGTCCAGTAAGGATCATCACATAAACTAGTTGATGCTTACCTCCTTACTAAATTCCACAATGCTGGTTTTATACTGAGGAAGAGACCAGATATACTCCAATACAGAGTACATGTGGTGGCGATAACCTAGACGTGGTAGGTATGATTAGTGCATGGGAAAAACGAGAAAATTAATTTTCAATCTACGAAAACGTAAATTATACTAACCGAATTTCTGTTCAAAATAATCCCCTTTTTCAATGTCGCAAAATATGGAGAGTAAAGCAGGACCAAGGTGGTTTGCAGACAGTTCACATTTCTCAAATGCTTGGTGTCTGTAATGCTACAAAAATACAATAGAAATATTCCTTGAACAAGCTGTCTCTAGTCAGTCCAAAACAAGATTTGAACCCGTAACTGCGCCAAACTGCCAGGAGTCTGGACATTAAGCTTCTACAAACAAAACACACAAAATACTAATTTCATGGCAGCTGGTGAGATTGGTTGTGGCAGATATATTTACACTATCAAAGTTTCTGTGATCACAGTAGGAAATATTTTGCATGGGTAAATTTAACATTTTGAAGGATTTGTAAGAAATATTTGAGGGAACTGATTCAGTGTTAAACATCAAGCCAGTTCCTTCAAACATTTCTTACAAATCCTTCAAAAGTTAGAATTTACCAATGCAAAATCATAGACGGATTTTCATATTTTTTACTGGGGTGGTGCCAGAAATTTTAGGGGGGTGAGCCGTGAGCAGGTGACTGAAGCAACACAAAGTGTCACCAAACCCCAGTAAGGTCTATATTCTAGGGGTGGAGCACTAGAGCCGCGAGGGGGAGTCTAGAGAGCAGAAAACAAAGTATCCCTGGAAAAATTTGAAAAAAGTCATGATTTCTAGCTTCGAAAAAACGTTTTTTGAAGTTGTCATATCAATGGATTTGGCATGTCCGATTGTCTGTTGAGACTTGAGAGAGTTAAAGTTAAATGAACCTGTAAAAGTGTAAACCCAATAGGCCAATACACAATATGCTTTTACTTTTATAAAGTCATTAACATTGTACATGTCGTTTGAATCCGAGTACAATTTATGATGCAACTCTGATGTAAATAATATTTGGGGCGTAAAGATTAAATCTAGGCAAGTCTATTTCCTAAAAGAATTAAAAACTAAAAATAATGTTCGTAAAAATTCCAAACGTTCCTTGCAAGCAAGCTATTTGCATGACAAGGCACTGCAAACTCTATTCAGGGGAGATAATAGAGTTTCAAAACTTTACAATTGGTCCAATAAACCAGTGAATGCAAGCGAGGAGCAATTAGTTTCAGAGTATTGCTCTTTTTCTATTTGAGTGTACTCCTACATTTATTTTGTACCATCAACACTCTGCACGTTGGAGTGGACTATTTAATTATTTTTTATTATGCCGAATATTGGGGGGGGGGGGAGGGGGTTGAAACTTTTTTTGGAGGGGTGGGCATTTTGTTTGAGGGGGTTATAGCTAATATTGGGGGGTAGCACCCCCCTGCACCCCCCACAAAATCCGTCTATGTGCAAAATTCCGACTGTGATCACAGAAACTTTAATAGTGTAAAGTAGTCTTCGAAGGTGTACGTAAAAACATAAACATATATAATTTACCGTAGCTACGAAATTTTTGCTAACTGAGAGCTCTTCTCGTTTCTTAACAGGTAACAAAGCTTCCAGGGCGTCCGTGATCTTTGCTCGCAGATGCGGGTTCTTGATAGCGTGTGGCTTGCTGAAAGTGAAGAGGAAAATACTTGCACATTTAGTGAAGCTTCGTTCATGCATATAGCTCAAACAGACAAGAGAAATTGTCCAACATTGAATGGAGTCCTGCCATTCATAGATAGCCAACACCATATAATGTACGTCAAGGTGCTTCATTTGTCTAAAGCCTTGGTAAAACGAGAGTTAATGAGAGATGAGAAGCGAGAGTTTGCATCAGAGTTTTCTCAACTCTCATGCCCCCGTCAAACGAGAACAAGAGTTGTATGAGAGTTGATGTCATGATAGTTAACTGGATATTACGCCGCATGCATGCAAGGGCCATCTGTCGCTATACAGAGTGTATAAAAAAAGGTAATCGAAATTCAGCTCGCTATTGCATCTCAATTACTCTGCGTACGAGCGAGATTTTTTCATATTCGAAAAGATCAGTCTTTTAGCTGTTGAATGATATGTTCTTCGTGTGAAATGGATGACAAATGAGCAAATACGAATCCGATATCGATAAAAAATGTTATTCAGAATCGCATATTTTCACTGTTGAAAATCTAAAACCATTGAAAATTAACCCCCTTTAGGACATAAGTTGACGAATTTCACTTCATTAAACTACATACATATTCATATTCTGACTAACATTTTTTATCGGACTCGTACTTGCTTATTTTTTCTCCACTTGCCATGAAAAACATATCATTCAACAGCTAAAAGCCCGATCTTTCCGAATATGAAACAATTTTGTTCATACAGTACACCGAGTAATTCACGTACAATAGCGCGCTGAAGTTCGATTACCTTTTTTTTAATACACCCTGTATAGTAAAAGTCTACTGTATTGCATACATAACTTATTCATTCTGACTTTACCTGATGAAAATGGCGCAGAAATTTAACAAGTACTTCAAGTTTTCACCAGCCGTTTCTAGAATTTCTTCTTTAAAAAGACTGCAAAATGACGAGAAACACCCAGTCAGTGAAATAATACAGTAATCCTCGCAGTCTGGATTTTTAAATTATTTTAAAGTAAATAAACTTAAATCTTAATTACAGTGTAGCAGCTGGTTTTGTCAACGCTTACTTACCGTAAAAACATAATAAAATCAACCATATTTTCAACAACAAATTCTGGGATGTAGCGAAGACCTCTTCCAGTCTACAATACATGAAGAAAATTGAAAAGAAATCAATGTTTAGAATCTCACAACTTGTCAGTAAGATGTGTTCGCAACAGGCTTGTAGCAAGCTTGTCAACAAGTTGTAACAATGCTGTTATTTTATCAAGTTGCTACAAGGTTGTCACTCACAACTTGTTGACAAATCGTTGAATTGCAGGACGATAACAAGTTGTTGGAATAATTTGTAACAAGTCTGTTGAGCTCAACAACCTTGTAGCAAGTTGTCAACAAACCATTGACAACTTGTCAACAAGCTGTGCGAATACATCCTGTTGACAAGTTGTTGGAACAGCATTGCTACAAGTCTGCTGCAGATTTGTTACAACTTGTACGTTTTTACGTGTATAGTGAGTTAACCTCAAATTGTGTGGCCAAAATTGGTTCATTATACGACATATCATCAAGATCCTCCTGAGCTATAACAACCTGGACCAACCAAGAAGCTGTAGCAATATAAAATCTCAAAGCAGTTTCTGCGAAAGAGGGATTCAGCAATTGACACTGTGAAGGAAAAAGTTGAAGGAATATGGTAAAAACATAAATAGTTAACTGAGGATTAAACACGTGCTAACTGCTAAATACCACGTGCAATACCCGTGCCCAACTTACCTTTATAGAAAGTTGTTCTGCGATTCCTTTTTCAAATTGTTCCCGAATTCTGTCTGTAATTTCAGGGCTGGTTACCTGATGACGTGTTTCGTTGTAAACCTCTTGAACCTGATTAGAAATAATACCAAACAACTATGTTGTAGCCTGCGCATAGTATTTGCGGGCTGAAAAGGGGGGTATTTCAAGCCCGGCCCCCTCCCTTCACGTGCCCGCTAATACCGCCTGCTACGCAGGCTAAATATGATGCTGTTCTTTGATTTTTCACACAACTTTGTGCAGTAGTTAATCAGTAGCGAAGCTAGCCATGGAAACAGGCAGGAGTGGAAAAAATAGGCGAGCACGCGAGCACTGCTCGCAGGAAATGTTAAACAGCTGCAGGAAATTCGTTTGAATGCAGATTTGTTACTGAAAATTTGAAGGAAACCTTAACACCCATGTCCTACTATGGGCGCAACAACATATGGTTGACAGACATTATTCCTTGAATTTAAAACCATGATCAGCTAGAACACTATACGTTTATGCACATGCAGATTTAGCACAAAAATACTCCGTTGGTGGTCTGCAGGAAATTTTTGTCTCCAGGTTGTGCTCCCAGAAAGAAAATTCTTTTTTCCTGTCCTGTTCATGCTGTGCAAGTTTTTAATGATTATTGCATCATTCAAATTTTTAGAGATGTATTAATTGTCTTTAACCTATTTAGTTAAGATTTCTTTTTACGACTTACCTTAGCTAAATCTTGCATTAGTTTCTGATACGTATCGCACGTAACTTGCAAACCTACAATTTATTATAAATAAAACAAAAATATTGTAAATGATACTTTTAATGGGGTCAGTTGAAGCGAATGACTTATTTCAATTTGAATTGAGAAGGTGGACGTAAACTAAATATACATACCCAGCTGAAGACATCGGTGTGTGAGGAAAAATAATTCTGTTGTGAAGCCAAAAACTGGACTTATCCGTGGATTGACCTCTTCTATACAACAATAAAAAATTTGTTCAAAGCTGGTAAACGCCACCAACCTTAAATTAGGTTAAAATTTAGCCCGCTGTTTGTATTTCTGCATGTCTGTTTAAAACTTTAGAAAATAAAACTTCTGCTTATAAACAAGCTGTCTGGGAATTCGCTTTGAAAATTTACTCGGACAGGTATACCCGTACCAACCTTATCCGTGCCCGGCCTTTGTACGTAATACTGTAGTTAGTTCGAGCAAAATTGAGCATAGTGTAAATGGGCTGAAGGTGACACCAACCACTGTGACACTCTCCTTATTCACTGAAATATGACTTTACCTTCAGATTCAGGTGGACAGAGTTTCGTCTCGGCTTGCAAGCCACATAAATGGACAGTTGTGCCCTCTTGAGATATCGTATCAACTGTTGCGGGTGTGATACAGTAACGCGGGTCTATTCTTGTCAGTTTTGAAGATTGCGGATCCAGGAAAGGTTGACACAATGAGAGCAGTACGTTTCCCAAGTTCAGGAAGAATCCGTCACCGGCCAAGCCTGCTCGATTACTCGTCATCTGTGGGGGGAAAAGTATAGATTTGAACTTCTCTGCTTCCTAGCTGACTGTATAGCTCAATTGGAAGAGAGTCAGGGCGTCTTATCATGAATATATGGTAATCAATTATTGTTCATAAATATACAGCGTGACAACTGCAAGCTTGATTTTTCAAGTGATCTTATTATCGTCTCTACCAACACTGGCACAGATCGTTCGAGATTACATCACAGAGTGATAGTTGCCCCGAGTTTCTGGGAGATCCAGGAAAAAAATGTGGAAACTTACTTTCTTTCTACTTTCATTTGAATGCAAACAAGAACCGATCCAGTGGAGGAGACCATGTTTTGTCGCCGGTGAAGACTTGAGTAAATTTTTGCAAATCTATACAGAAATATTATCATACAAATATACACCACAACCATCATCATCACTACCATCAGCATCACCACCAGCAAACACACCACATCTGGTATTCACCACCATCATCATCATCACTATCATAACAACCCAACTTCATTATCACCATCATCACCAACATACCATCACCAACATACCATCACCAACATACCACCACCAACATACCATCACCAACATACCATCATGACATCATCAACATACCATCACCAACATACCATCACCAACATACCATCATCAACATACCATCACCAACATACCATCACCAACATACCATCATCACCTTACGACTACCATATGACTGCCATAACCATCACTAGCATCATCATCATCACCATCTCTTCATCATAACCATCTTATCATCATCATCCAGCACATGCAGTAACAACCATCAACACTACAATATCATTATTTAAAACACGGTACCTGAGTCATTTGGTCGCAGTTAAAATTAATATAATCTCTCAATCGAGCAGTAACTGCCTCCATTTCGCTAGCACTTTGCCTTGAAGGGTTAACGAAGAATTTCTGCATGTAAACAAGAGAGGTGGTTGTAATTTTGCCTCAATCTCTTGCGCGAAGAACGTCTTCCGAATCTAGTAAACTAAACTCTATTTGCATGCAGTGTACACTTAGGTTTCCTCCTGTAGTAACACTGGACAAAAAAAGGATAGCGCTCGCTGGACTTCTAGGGAAAACAGTTTCAAACTGATAGAGCTATCTAGTATAAATAGTATTTAAATACATAAATAAAGTTTAACTTAATAAAATTGGCGAACCTGTCCATCTAAACTACGCACTGTAGACAGTCTGTAATCGCCTACCTCTGTATTCCGTGGGTCTCTCGGAATAGTGGAAAGGCCAAGGAATAGGCCTAAGATACTGCCACGTTCAAAACTTGCTCCCATGGCTGGGAAACCAGACAATCCACCAAAAGCTCCCATTATGATTGGGCTGGACGGAAGCCAGGACGGAGATTTGACAAGAAGCTGGGAGACATAATATCATACATCATGAATATGGTGATAGTGATGGTGTCACATGAAATGATGGTGAAGCTGCTGTTGGTGATGACAAAGATGATCATGGTGGTCATGGTGGTAATGTGGTGATCATGGTGGTAAAATAGTGATCATGGTAATATGGTGATCATGGTAACAATATGGTGATCATGGTGGTAATATGGTGATCATGGTGGTAAAATGGTGATCATGGTGATAATATGGTGATAATATGGTGATCATGGTGGTAACTATGGTAGTAATATGATAACAGATGATGGTGGTAAAATGATTGTGGTCCCTCCCATGTGTTAGCAACTATTACAAACAACAGTAATGACCAAAACTAAACCATCCCAGTCTCATGTAAATGCCAGTGCTACCTGTCCTATATCTTTATTCTGGGAAAACACACACAGTACGTTCAGAAATGGACCAACTTCAGGTTGCATTAAAACCATTTCAGTTGATTTGATCTTCTCCACAACGTGATTGACAACAGGCGAGAACATGTCCACCTAAATAAACAATACAAATAAATTAACGACCAAAATATTGTGGTATCGTCATTTGTGAAAGATGATTAAAAAATCCTGAGGTATTTTCATTGAATTTCATACCATTTCTTCACTTGAAGCAGGATCTTTTAAAACGAGATGATACAACTGTGTGAATTCTTCATCTGTTTTGTTCAAGAAAACACAATCATTACAAATATCAAAGTTTGACTTCTGCTCCCTCTCACTGGCTCAGTGCACATTTGATTGAAAACGGCTTTTATGGGAGCAATCAGCATACAGTACTGTACCTTGTGACATCGTTAGAACTAGGTTAGAGAACTCCAGGTGGGGTTTTTGGTGTGGAAAAAGTTCTGGCTGGGACAGACATGTTCTAGAAGAAATACAGTAACATAGTAATTAAAGTTTTAGCAAATCAGAGTCTAGAATTTTTTCCTTTTTTAACAAAGTTCATTTATGGTTTCCACTATACTTCTTGTAGAAGTGATTTTGCTCACCGTATATAAGAGATAATTATTTCCTCACATTGTTTCAAATAATGAACCAGTAAATCATATTTATCCTGAAAAAAATATATATATGATTAGTAAAAAATCACCTGGAATACAAAATCAGTTTTGGCTCTCAAGCAGCTCAATACATGCAGCTCAGACATACTGATATGTGCAGAAAAATTAAAGAGAAAACACAAAATCGAACCTTCCATCTTTTATCTTCTTGTAATTTCCTGTGAAAACATCCTCGTAAATAATGAACAATACTTTTTTCGGCTGGGTTTGCTGTTAACAGATATTTTGGAGTGTCTTTGCAGTCGACTGCTGTCAGAACATTATTTGCTGGTGTCTCCATCATCAACCTTTCTAGGAGAGCCTTAAACATTTTATAAATTCTTTAAAATTTGTAACCGTTTTACCCTCATCTGTCACCCGAGGATTTTGTTTTCATGATTTGGGAGGTTTATTTCCTCGCGTTTTTGAAAGATGTTCGATAGTTACGAGATCTGATAGACTGCACCCAATAAGTTGCAATATAGGGAGCAATGTAACTTAATGGGTTACATTTACCTGATCTATACTAGCCCAGTCAAGAAGTTGTAACACTCTTTCTGAGTCGGAGGCTGTATCAGGAAGATAAACAAATGACTTAGGAATACCACCATATTCTCGATCAACTGCATCTTCTTCTTGACCTATAAATATTATAAAACCATTATAAGGTGTGCACTTCTTGTCAATGGATTGAGTGACGTTTTTGACAATACGGACATCATGCATAACATAATTATGACATCAGCACTTGAAATCAATGCAGTTTCACATTCAAGATTTCAAACAAGAATGGCTAATATGGCTTGATTTACTTCCAGTCAGCATTTGTGAATCAAAAACGTCGCTTAAGCTCTTGAGCTTATACTACCAACGACTTACACTAACAAGGACCAAGGACTTACATTCTTGAAGAGTTATTAAGAAGATTCTCTGTAACAAATTATTAACAATTCGTTTTACATCCAATGCTTTATCACTTTCACCCTGTTCCCGTGTTGTTGATAAACTGATGTCTTCATGTCCACTCTGGCTGCTCTTCAATGTTTCCTGTACCATGTTTGACGTCTTAACTTGTGACACATACTGCGCAGCTTGCGTCATGGAAGGAAAAAGCGCTGCAAAAGGATTTCCTTCCAAGTTACTTTGCTCCGACGAACCAGCTTTATTAGCCATTGTTAAAGATTAATTATTTCATCTAAACAAATGTTCGAACGGACTATATGATTGTTTTTTATCAAAGGTCCATTTACATGATACAACTAGTCGTATGCGATTGTCACTCTGGTGTATGAAAACGACTGCTGACGCCACTATCTATCACTTTATGGTGAAATTTGAAATGCGACATTTCTACACACATTTGTTCAAGTACATACGCAAGGATAAGAATCGTGTACAACTAGTCATATTGTGTAGGCCTTTACAAAAAACTGGGATGAATTAATAGCATGGCAAAAATCAAAATTTTACAGTACATTTCGTAATGAAGCCAGGTTGAAAATTACAGACTTTAGTTCCTTTGATCATACATTTCAAATCAATATTGTTAATTTTATTTTGTGTGTGTTGGTGTTACTATTTACTCAGGTGAATATGATGTTTGTGATGTTACTCTGAGTGTGCATTCACACCGGGCAAGCTGAAAAGTTAGCTTGGCCATGGTGGGAATTGAACCTGCAACCTTTTATCCTCACATGTGTATCATCGGGGTTGTTCAAAATTCAGACTGGTTGCAAATTAGTCCCGGCCTCCCGATCATCAGTTAAACTGGGTTTCTTTCAGTTTTGTTTTGCCAGCAGAAACTGAAAAGGAGGGTACATTAGGGTACATCACAGCTTAATGCCACAGAGACATAGACAGGTAGTATGTGGCTAACCTACTAATGCCAAACACGTACCATCCTTCATGACTAAGGCCTGTTTTATACGTCGACTTTTGGTTGCGTCGAATGCAATTCAAGCAATAGATAATGAAGCTTAATAATGAGGTTTATCATCTCATTAATATCTATTGTCTTAATTGCATTCGACGCGACCAAAATTGAACGTATAAAACGGGCCTACGATTGTCTAACATTATACAGAGTAAAATATTAACAACAACGGTGCACTGCAGTTTAACAAGTTAATAATTAACTTTAATATATTTGTGATTAACCCTTTAAGTGGCAACGTGCCCTGATGCGCTCTCCAATTAGTATTAATTTACTCTGTCTAATTTATGCCAGACGATTTTACTCATCAACGGAGGAATGCTGCTACTCAATGGGTTAATCTTCAATGAATTCTTTCATTAAAATAAATAATTAAAATTTATAAATGTATAAATTATTGTTTTAATTTAAATTTGTTACAAATAAAATATAGATATTGAACTAAAAGTGACGTCATTATTTCACCACTAATGAGGCAACAATCTCGGCAAGAACATGCTTTTATTTTCGCATACAGTTCCATTTAACAATAAATTCTCACCTTTTAACAACAATATATAAAAATAAACAATTTAAAATTCTTCTAAAAGTCTGTCTGAACACATTTCAGCTAAAAATTCCCCATTTCTAAGCTTGCTTTGAAAATGAACGAAAACGAATTTGTCAGCAATTCGCGGGTAAATGTGGTTATGTTTCCACCCCCCGGGAAAAGTATAAATTCGAACCTAAAGCAGGAGGGTGAGTAAATTTTAAGCGAAATTTGCGTAGTGTACCCCCCGGTATTTATAGAGAATGAAAGAAAAATCAGGGGGGAGATACTCGTTTCATGGATTATAAACAAAATTCATAGAGGAAGAAAAAAAAACAAAATGCAAAGATAGAAGAATTACTGTATTTCCTGTTGTCCGAAACTTGACGTTTGGTTAAAAAAAAGTTGAAAAGCTTTGCCATGATTACTTTATCGAAGAAATTACGTGAAGAGAAAAACAAATCAAGGGATAAAGGTTCGAGGCTTCGTTCTGTTCGAGACATTTTGTTGACAAAAGGTATTTTGACATATTAAAGTTAAAGTTTTTCTCATCTGACGGAAATATCGTGTGGTAGGTAGTGATCTGAGTGAGAATCACTGAGAAATAATGTTAGCTCGTTTATTAGATGTACTAGTCTTTAAATTAAGTATTGACCGCCTATCTGACGCTGTCTTTATATTTTAAAAAACGCTTACCAAACTCGACGTATCGTATATTTAACCATTGTTGCTATTCTTTATTTCAGAAGTGCCAGAAATGATCGAAAATTTACCAGGTTTGTGTTTGGTTAAAGTATTGAACAAAAAAACACATATTATAAAATACAACAAAACATGATGTGATTATTGACCAGAATAGGCTGAATAACTTCAATTTGTAAACTTCTCTGTCTTCATTAGATACCTGTCAAGTAGATTTTAAAGATCCGGATATTTTAAAAGAATTTGATTTAACAATTAAACCAGGTATTCATGTAATATACAGGGATATTGGAGGGGGGTGCCCCTCCCTGCCCTTTCGTATTAGGGGGCAAGCCGGCAAGGGGTATTTTACTTCATTTATACACAGATGTATTATCAGATAAACTTTGTCCAAAAATAATTCATATACATACTTCATCTTTAATTGTTTTCCTATAGAGGAAGGATTTTGGTCTGGTGGAACATTTCATTTTCATATAAATGTCCCAGAAGAATATAACATAAAAGTAGGTGTAACCAGTATCTTAACGTCTCAAAACATGTTTTATTGGTTCAACTGGGATGAAGCCCTCATATGGAAAATTTCATCCCAGCAAGTTTGTATTGCCGAACACATAATGAGGTGATTTTTGTTGTTAAAGCCGCCACTAGCAAGTTGCAAAACAAGGATATGGCACCCAAATATAAATGAGGAAGGACAAATATGCTTGAGGTAATTTATTATTGTTGTGGAATGTGTTTTAAAAGACGCGTTGTATTCAGGATTTGAGATTGGAATTTTTTCCTGGAATTGAATTCTTACAACTTTTTCTTTCAGTTTGTTAAGAGAACACACGATAGATGGGTCAGGATGGGCTCCAACTAGAAAATTAAAGGTATATAACATAGATCACAGACAGATTTTCTGGGGGTGCACACCCCTCCAAAAAAAAAATTTGTACCCCCTCAGAAAGTTTTCCCACCCCACCTAGAGAAATGTGCTCCCCCCCTGTTATTTGCTTCTCACTTTCATTAACTTTTGATAGTTTTATTTCTTATAGTATAATTCGCATAATATAAACTCCTAACATGTATATACTCTATCTCTAAAATCCCGTGTCCCACAACTATTTTCGCGCTCTTTTCGTTCGTTCCCAGTTTTCCCTGTCCGAGCAAATATAACTAAAATATTAATGTCAACAGTAAATGTCCAACACCCCCAATTTTAAATATTCATTGGATTAAATGACAGTACCAAAAATCTCAAAATTTCCTCTGCTCCCCTTATCCCAGCCTTTCACAGAGACTGTCCCAAACTCCTTCTGCAGCTTGCCCTAGCTGCAGCTCCAAGTGCCCCCTGCTTATACCTTTTACCAGTACAGAACTGGCTATTATTATAAATCTCTTACATTTCCAACGACATTTTTACCCTTGCTTTATAGGATTTAGTTTGGGGAATAAATTCGCTATTTACAGTAAGCAGTATAATAGATCGTTTTGGTTCAATATGATAATTTGAAAAATTTTGTTTGACATTTCTAAACTTCTAGAATTTTTGTTATCGTTAGGATTTACTAGATTTTGATGACGCATTAAATACAGAAGCTGCCAAACAACATAGGGAGAGCAAGGTGCGAGCAATTGCTTTCCAATTTTTTAATGTCTGCGAGTAATGAAGTTGTGATATTACCTTATTTCTGCACAGCAGAATATTTTTACTCATAATTTACCACTGATGATCCTTTTCTTTAAACTTCACAGGAAGAATTTGAAGAAAAAGTGAAAGATTTTATTCACAGCTACGCTTTGTGACGATATGGCCATAGGACATTAAGAATATATTATTAATACTGAAATATCGCGAATTTATATTCAGTATATAAATGACTGTATAGTAAGTTATAACTTAGATGTACCTAGAAGTAATTGCGTCGTTGACACCCAATTTTATAAATAAATCATATACTGTTTGTGTTACTGAACTGTTCCGAGAATGGAACAAAGGTAACCAAGCATTAGAATTGATTTAGGAGAAATTGGCTGGCAACTGGGTACACACACGTAAAAACTTGTACACTTCTTACAACTTGTCAACAAGATGTGTTCGCAACAGGTTTGTGGCAAGCTTGTCAACAAGTTGTAACAATGCTGTTATTTTATCAAGTTACTACAAGGTTGTCGTCTGTTGAGCTCAACAACCTTGTAGCAAGTTGTCAACAAGCTGGGAACAAGCAGTGCGAACACATCCTGTTGACAAGTTGTTGGAACAGCATTGCTACAAGTCTGCTGCAGCTTTTCTTACAACTTGTGCGTTTTTACGTGTGTAAAATTCTTGCAAAGGCTTTGATAGTTGGTTTAATGTTCATTTCGTTAAATATCTTCTCATAAATTAAGGATTGAGTGATCACAGCTAGAAAGCTCTTCTGTGTAATATAAAGTACGCTTAATTACGTTTTGTTGAACGGGACCAAATTGACATTGTTGTGTAAATATTCAAGAACTTTATATATGTACTATAAAGATATATTTGTTTATGAAAAATTAATATTGAACGTCATCATACCTGCATTTTTTTCTGTTGTCAGTTTGATAACTTGTTAGTCATGTCACACTGTCCGAGAGTCGACGTACTTGATTATTCGCAGAAATTTTTTCGTTGTTCTCTTTCGGTCCCAGAAAGAAAAATATTATTTCCAGCCCTGACCAACATCCCCTTACGAAGTCAATTCAGGGTAGCTTCCCGAATGCCGGCTGGTAATCGAGCCTAGTCAATACCTCAATATTATTGTATTCAAAATTACAATATTTGAATTCATCTGTACAATTTTACATAATATAGATATGTATTATAGTGCATTTGACATAATATGTTTGGGCTGCTTCTACGAAGACTGACCCCAGCTGGTCAATAATTCGTCCCTTCGCTTCATCTGTACAATTTTAAATTATTTTGTTAATATAAATAATTGAATTTCATTAAATTTATCATCTCTCACCATATTTCACGAAGATTCAGGCTTCAGAAATTCTTTAAAACATTTTCTAATTTCTGCCCTGACTTCGTCTAAAATCTCTTCTTTCATCTAAAAATAAATGGTAAATACAGTAACTGTTGGTGAGTTTTGCTCGTGTATCAGATAGTGGTCAAACATCAGTGATCAAAGTAAAGAATGGATGGCATGATAACAGGGATTTTCAATGAATCATGACTGGCTGTGGATTACACTGCCACGTAAAAACGCACAACTTGTCACAAGTCTGCAAATAAGTTGTTACAAATCTGTTCACAAGCTGTGGACGAGTTGTGTTCGCATTGCTTGTTCCCAGTTGTTGTAACAAGTTTGGAACAAGATGTTAACAACTTGGAACAAGCTTGATCGATGGCATTATCAGACTTGTTACAAGGTTGTTCTAACAAGTCTGATACAGTCATGATATAACAAGAATGTTACAAGGTTGACCACACAAGGTGTAACAATACGGTATTGTTATATCATGACTGTATCGGACTTGTTGGAACAACCTTGTAACAAGTCTATAATGCCATCAAGCTTGTTCCAAACTTGTTGACAACTTGGGACAAGCAGTGCGAACACAACTTGTTGACAGACTTGCTACAAGATGTGGAATTTTTGCGTGTGTACGTGACCTATACACTAATCCACACCTCGAAGTCCAACAACAAATTAAGTCTAAAAACTTCTAAAATCTTACCGATGCATTTTGTTCGACACTGTCTTGACGCAACTGCTGCATTTCTTTCCTTAGTTTCATGACGTCAGTATGACGCAATACATCCGGGGTATCAGAGCACAGACTTGGTTCACGTGACACGCTAGCTGATGACGTGGGCGAGACTGCTGCACTTGATATTGAGCTGAACATTCTGAGTTGCTCTTGAAGCAGCTGTCGCGTCTGAGAAAAATAGTTTCTATTTTAGTTGCTTTATATTTTTATCTTAGTGTCAATGAGTAATGCGTGGACAGTATATATTGGCCATTTCACGTGCAGTCTGCGTCCCCTCCCCCTCCCCTGAGAGCCGCTACACAGGCTATTTCACATGCTAATTGGCTGCAGTGACGTCCCGACCCACAATTTAAACACGACTTACTATATCCGAGAAATCGCTTCCTCGCCGATGTGCTTCTTCACTCCTTTCTTCTTTACCATCACCTTGCTTTTTCTGTTTTGAAAAACACACCAGGGTAAAGTGAAACTGAAAGTATTCATCTCACATGCGACTGAGTTGAAATTATAATCAGCAACCAAATTCTGGTTTCCGATGTGAATGCAGAAACACCACTGTGCCACAGTTTCAACATAGAGAAGTTAAGCCATTACGTTGACACTGTAACGGATAGTTTTCCGTAGCGACGTGAAAAACAGCTATCCGTACCTTTTAGGAACGCTATTTTCAGAGGAATTATTGCAACGGAGAGATGTTGTTTCACTCAGATTCTGAAAGTTGTACATTCCGTATCGGATAGGTGCTTTTTCGCGCAGCTATGGAAACCTATCCAGTGCTAATTTGAACAAAACCAGTTTCACTTACGATTCCCTTCAATTGTTTCTGAAGTCGTAAGATATATTCCTCTAAATGTTTTAATTCTCCTTGTATCGAGTCGAGCAGTCGCTCACTTGAACGTCCTTGAAGCCTACAGTCAAATGAGAGAATATTGTTAATATAGTATGCTATCACCATCTAAATATAGAGCTATCAAGTACAGTAAGGTTAGTTAATTTGTTAATGAATTAGTTAATTAATTAATTAGTTAACTAATTAGTTAGTTAGTTAATGAATTAGTTAATTAGTTAGTTAATAAATTAGTTAACTAGTTAAATTAGTTAATTAATGAATTAATTAATGAACTAATTAGTTAACTAATTAATTAATTAGTTAGTTAATGAATTAGTTAATTAGTTAGTTAATGAATTAGTTAAGTAGTTAACTAATGAATGAATGAACAAATTAATTAATTAGTTAACTAATTAATTAGTTAGTTAATTAGTTAGTTAATGTTAGTTAGTTAACTAGTTGATTAATGAATTAATTAACTAATTAATTAACTAATTAGTTAGTTAACCAATTAATTAATTAGTTAGTTAATTAATTTGTTAGTTAGTTAGTCAGTTAGTTAGTTAGTGAATTAGTATGTGAGGTACGTACCTTTTAGGTCGTTTTTCAGAGCACATAACGGTTTCGATAGAAGATGCCAACTGTATCAAATGAATTCCAGCTTTGTACATCTTCACGCCTTTTAGTGAATTTTGTAAGCCATCGAGTTCTTCCTGGAGAAAGTGAAGACAATCTAAGCGTCGTTTTAAGTTCACTTTTTCTTTGAGTGTTAAATTATAGTAGATTATACAGACATTATAAGACTTACTTCAATACTTATCCCATGATTCAAATGAGCACCAGGTTTTTCGGCACCTAAACATTCTTCCTTCTTTGAACTAAAATGTTCATCACTGTACACATCATTTATCCTGGTTTCATCCTCTTTTTCACTTCTTTTCTTTATGTTACAATGAACTGCATTCGATTTCTCACTTTGGCCAAAATTCCATTGTGCACTACTTGAGTTTTTGGTCTGCTCAAACGACGTAAAGGTTCTTCTGGGGTTTTTAAAAGCTTCAAAATCGTCAGAATTTTGAATAGTACTAGTTTTACTAGTTTCTGAACAGCCAGAAAATTGAATAGCACTGGTTTTACTAGTTTCCGAACAGGTTTTTCCTGGTCTATTTGAACATTCGACACCCAAGTCTGAAAAACATGGGATGTTTGTAACATCATTTTCGCAAGGCAATGTAACTTGCAGCGCCTTTCTACATTGGCTGACAGATAGAGTCACTTTGGTGTCCACTGTTTTGCGACTGCGCGAGGATAACTTCCGTGTTACCTTTGGTTTCCCCTTGTTTGAAAATGAAATTTGCGGTTGTCTTTTGCTGCCAAGGGTAGCCCACTGTTGACTGCCATACATATTCCACTGCGTGGGTTTCGTCTGACGTGTATCACAAGAAACCTTTCCTTTGCCAGCAGTATTTTTTTTGTTTGATTGAGAGTTGGTTTCTTCGGATTTGTCAGGCCATATTATTGGCAATAGTTTATCTATGTCCGGGGCATTGACTGTAGATATTTTTCGAGATTTTTCAACCGGTTCAGAAATTGTTAAAATCGGAATACTTAATCTAGGATGTTTTGGGGTCAAATCAGGCAGGTTATTTGAAGTATTGGGTTTTGTCAATTTATCACTGTTGGTGACTTCCTGACATCGGTTATCTGTCGGTTCGCTCTCGACTTCCAACGATTCCCGATGACCTTCCGAAACCGGCGTATTGTTATCAGTTAGATAAGCAGACAAAGATGGTACTGTATCGGTTTGGGGAGAAGACCACTGACCGCTACTGATAGCTGGAATGTCTTGGATGTCAGCAATTGCAGGCGTCCAACTCCATGGGTTAACTGGACTGTCTTCAGCAGTCGTCGGCTGGACCTCAGCAATTGTAAGCGTTGAACTCCATGGGTCGATTGAATTGTCTCTATTTTTGTCAATCCAATCTCCGTTGTAACCTAGAAGACACGAGAAGAGCCATAGCGTACTTTAAACACTATCATTCAATTGCATTTAAACCTCTACCTACGGACATCTATCTAATATGCACCCCCGCCCCCAAAGGAAAAATCGCAAGTGTAAACGAGCTTAATTTAACATAAAATAAAACAAACCTTGATCAATTTCCTCGGGTATATTACTCGCAGGCATGTTATTCCCGGTATCATCAGAGGCAATACCATGATCTTCACTTCGATATGCTTCAGAATTGACTTCTCCTTCGTCCTCGGTATTCTGCCACAGATCGCACAAAGAAGGTATTTTAGCCATGTTTTCGGGACCATCTTGGCTGTTTGCTTTCAAAGTGGAACGGGTACTTTCAAAACTTATATTTTTCATCGGGCTTAGGGCGACACTTCCTTGTGAAGAGAGTTCAGCTTCTTCCGTCACTGGCTCGAGGTACGTGCCAAATTTCGAAGGAAAAGTTTTAGGAAGGCGTATGGGGATCTCCTCTATGGCTTCATCTGACGGCTCGTTGACAAGGGGCACATCCTCCCCTTCGTCAGCGGATTCAAAAGGGTCTTCTTTCTGGTTCCAAAATTTTGTAGGAATGTCATCGAATCTTGTCATAACCCACGGAGGAATTTCAGAATTCTAACAATGAGAAGTACAGTTAATATTCTTGCGAGGCTGGATTTCGGCACTGGCGAGCCAGCTAGCCCAACTCATGTGGTGCCGTGGTCACCACGCTTGCCTTTCAAGCCGCTGGGAGACTCGGGTTCAGTCCTTGGTCGGACCTCTACTCAAGCTCTTCAAATACTTGAGGAGAAAGGGCTACGCGTTTACATTGACATCAGTAAATGGCTAGACTTTCGCGTCTTCTCGGATAAGGATGTTAAATCGTACGTACCTCGGATCCCCTATCAATTGAGCAAAAGCTGTTGGGAAATCCGTTCACCGATGACTGAGAAACTCAATAAACTCGTACAGCCCATAAAAGCGCTCCACTTACCGTATGCATGGCGTCCTCAGAATCGTCATTCACGCTATACAGAAACTGTCTCGAATCTACTCCATCACATACGGTTCCAGTGTTGATAAATCTATCTGGAATTCTATCAAGGACACTGGGGCCACGAAATCCTAAACCTTTTAAAACATCTTCGGGATCACTTTCTCTCGCCGTTAACAAACTCGAAACACTATAAGGAAAAATAGCGTACGAGTTATTTTAATAAAGCTATTGTTTGCCTTCATTTATTAACATTTTGTATTTTCTGTCAAACAGTTGAACATTGTTCAAATACGGCTTTATTAAGTTTTAGTGTTCCCGTGTACAATCAATTTATTTATGATATATTACAGTAATTTTAACGATTTTTAATAATTGTACAAAAAACGCTATCTCATAAAAAAATCAATTTCCAAAATTAATGAACAAATTTCGGCGTGGGTTGTTTTGGCAAAAGGTTGTATAACAATATGTTTTTTAAAATATAGTTAATGCAAATTTCAAATAGACGAAAATAAACCCAGAGTTGCAGAATGAATCCCAGAGCGCACAAATGTATTTTAAAAGAAAAACTCGTTATTTTACGAACCTTGTGACTGAAGATAAGCCAGAAGTGTCGCTATCTAGTGATCTATCATACGACAAGCGGTTCGTTAAAAATTGTCTTCGTCCCGTGCATGAAAACCATCTGTTGTAGCTACTGTCTGAATCACTGTCGCGGCTAAAATATAACCAAAATCCTCACTATGAAACGAAGAATACGGGTTGATCTGAATTTGTGTAGCCTGCGCGCAGAGACGCTATATATGAATTGATATATATATACTCTGCAAATCTTCGACAAAAATCTTGTATGATCAAGTTGATTTTGCAACAAAGTTGAGACAATTCCTAATTGCAGATCAACCAATAATTAATATGTAAAAGTAACGTTTACTGAACTGATATAATTTACACTATACGTTTCCACTAAGCGGCGCGAAAAAGCACCTAGCCGATACGGAATGTACAACTTTCAGAAGCTGAGCGAAACATCTTTCCGTTGCAATAATTCCTCTGAAAATAGCGTTCCTAAAAGTACGGATATGTGTTTTCACGTCGCTACGGAAAGCTATGTGGTATACAGAGTAAACGTAGCCACTTACCTCATGCACATTCGCTTAACGCAACGAGTTCATGGAATTTGCGCGTGGCTAGCTAAACTTGCGTGAGATTACAGCTGCGTTTCTGCGTTTATTAAAATGTAGATTGCAAAGAATAACTCGGGTAAATTTGAAAAACATCTGTGACGCAAATAAATGTTATTAAAATTCAGTGAACTGTTTTGATACCATTAACTCATTGAGTGCAACTTCGGATTGGTAGGGATGTAACTACATGAAAAATACAAGGAGAATTGACCATTTGTCGGGTCTTCGCTCGAAACATCGACGTTCTCCTTGTATTTTTCAGGTTGTCGAATCTCTTTCAATATACGCAGCTTTCTCGTGTTATTGTCACAACTTACACTAGCAGAGATCAACTCAACATTATATCATGGTCAGTTGAGATGGTAAAATAATACACAAACCTTAATGGAGGAGGATGTTTGTGAGTTTTGTGTTTTCTACGAAGGTCAGTCGCTTCTGCGCCAAGTTGTAAGTCGTCTGCATCACTCGAAGAACCTTGAAAATACAACAATATTACACACACAATAATAACCGTTATCACACGTGACAAGCGAATGGGATTGTCTTGCGTTTCCAAGACACTGTAGGAGTGTGAAATGCGATGCTATTTAAAACTTCTACAACGTAGGCTCGGACATTTTTCAGTGAAGACTTAACGCGATGTCCCACATAACTATTTTTAGCGACAATTCGCAATGCAAATGATGTTACATGTAATTTGATTGGCTTGGCAACGATTTGCGTTGCTAAAATGTCGTTAAAAATAGTTTCGTGCGTCGTCGTATTAAGTGTTTATCTGCGTTTGACATCATTAGAAAAGAGGTCTATTGACTGAGGAGGGGGATGGGGAGGGGAGGGCATCAACTTCTGAAGGTCTGTGAATGGTAGTTGAACAACTGTGTGAGAAAGCTGGGGTCTGCAGAATTAAGTAAAATCTGCCCATTTTCAAGTAGAATCTGCCCAACTAAAAATTAATCGGGGGTTGTAGCCCCCCTCTGGTATGCCTATGATGATGCATCTTAACAGATGACCATCTCTAGTAAAAACTGGGCCAATTATCAAATTTTCTACAGGAATTTATATCAGTAGAGTAATTGTGATATAAAGCAAACAAAAGTAAGTGAGACAAGCAAATGTTAATTACCAGTATAAGCATGATAGTCTTGGCTTGAGTCATCAAAAGCAGCATTGCTTTCTTTCAATGATTTAATCCACAACGCAACTGAAGATGAGCCTGGCGTTGTGTCTTTGTCATCTGAATACAGGAATGTCCATTTAAGAAACTCACAGACTGACCAACTGGCTGAACGACCAATTGAACAACCGACCGACTAACCCACCAAATGACCAACTGACGACCCACCAACAGACTGACCCACTGAATGACCAACCGACCAACCAATCTACCAAATGACCAACTGATCACCCATCAACCAACTGTCTGACCCACTACATAACCAATCAACCGACCGACCAACCCACCAAATGACCAACTGATGACCCACCAACCGACTGTCTGACCCACTACATAACAAACCAACCGACCAACCGACCCACCAAATGATCAACTGATGACCCACAAACCAACCAACAAACAGAAAGACCAACTAACCGACCGACTAAGCAACCGACAGACTGAAAAACCGACCAATACCCAGTCCAATCCATGTACACTATAAAAAACACTTACTTTTAGACTTGAGTACTTGATCAGAAATGTCATCTTCCAGAGTGAAAACAAGATGGTCATTCTTACTACCATTCTTCATAGCTTTCTGTCTTGGTGAGAAATTCTCACTCAAGATGCAATTCAAGGGTGGTTGTGTAGCGAGCATTCTTCACATGTTTGACAATAACCAAGTAGGTACGATTCATGCTACGGTTACGTAAATGCCTGAACAATAGCTGCAAAATAGCACATATATTTCATTTATTTGTATATTGTAGAAATTCATTTGTCACATGGTTGTGCCTTTATCAGGGCGACATAAAAACAATATGTGCATGATATTTTTTGTCACTGATATCGCTTTTTGTCCTGCTATATTTGTAGCACTATATTTGTAATGGGCTGTTACAGAAAAGATCCATCCTGCCCCCATGCCCCCAAGGAGGAATATTGTCCAGAGGGGGAGTTAAGAAAAATTTGTTTCTGATAATAGTAAGTGTATTAGAACATCCAAAGGGGGTAGGGGGGTTCACTTCCAATTTCCTCTGTGGGGAGGTACGATGTTTTCTGGAATGACCCAATTCTGATAAAGGCGCAAGTATACATATATCATAGTCAGGACGAGGCAACATCAGTTTCATCGCTTTCAGGACAATATCCGTAAATGTTCCTTGTTCGCTGTGCTCATTTGGAACATTTACGATATCATCTCTCAAGCAATAAAACTGATATTGCCTCGTCCCTCATGATAATCTGTAATTATGCTGGGCATCAGATTATCAGAGATGTGCAACAATAATGTGGATTTAATATATGTAGTCGTCTTGTACTTGTCGGCAAACAAAGGGGCACTTGAAAACACACTTAGGGTCATTCCTAGGTCTTTGTCGAACATTGTTCAATTGCTAATGAAGAATTAACTAGTATCTAACTTAGACACAATCACATTGTATGTTTTGCAGTTCAAAACAAGCGAAATCTATAAAGAATGCCTGAGAAATTAGGGCCTAAACTATAAATTCTATGAACAATTAATTATTGACAGGTTGGTAATAATACATATTTATAACCAGACATATTTTTGTTGTTGATAATGAAAGCGCAAAGGCGGCTACGAAAATACTGTTGTTTTGAATTTTATTTCACGAATTAATACAGTAACAGCAAAGTTCGGCTATTTATATTCAAAATTGGCAAGACATGCTGTGAAGCGATGAATATTTTGCCACAATACAGTAAATGAGCACTCCGCGGTTCAACACCTGTGAAAGTGTTTACTTATTCCCCTAAAGTGTTAAACTTTATTTAAATACATTTTGTCTCTTTTAGAATAGACGTATGTGTTTAATTTGACAAGAAAGCAAATATGTAAAGTTTAAACCTACAGCCTTGTGTTACTGTATGTATCTGTCTATCATTGTCCATTTTGAGACCCATTCACGTTTCAGCCATATTATATTTACTTCGGTTCATACTAAACTTCGACACACTTGCTCAAGTGCTTTCTAGCGCGCATAAAGAAAGAAATAGATATAAAGTGTACCTTATCATGTTAAATTGACCATTTCTTTGAACTTTTAAAACGAGTGCATTCGCTTGCATGTTCCGTTGTGTTGTTCCGTGCCTGCGAGAACTGGTTAATATGCAAAATTTTGCGTAGGAGGAGCTTATAAATTATGTTGATCCAAAGCAGGACAAAATACATACAAAGAAATTCCTAGTCCGATTAAAAATTGCCACCCCCGTAAATATTCTAAAACAAATGGTTTGTCTACAAATTTTATCCATAATTGCCACAAAAATAGAATTGGGTAGCATAGCGAACTTGTTTCGAAAGCCTAGTAATGTCGAAGTTGACGAAGAATAATTTCTGCTAGTTTTTTTCGTGCTAGTTTTTTTTCGTGCGAGACAGCTGCGCGGTTTATGTTCAGGGTTTATATAACATAGTCCTCACATGCTGTTTTATAAGATCAGATGTTGGCTTGTGTAGGTGTTTATAGAAGGATGCGAATTCTTTTGCTCGTTGCCATTGGCACTTTTCGTGGGCGAGAAGTGGAACATATTTTTTACTGTAATTGGTAAGCTTTTTTGTACTTTCGAAACCTCCTCCTCGCCAAAAAAACCTCCTCGCCATTTAGACGAGAAGATTAGGAAGAAAAGGTTTGGTTTTAAACTTTTTAAGAGTCAGCTTAACCTCATAGACATAGCTCCTCCCCCCTCCTCCCGAAAACACCTAAGTATATATGCGTCACAGCGGAGTGACTCATATATTGATAGACATTGATATTCGGATTAACAAAAAAAAACCCTCATCATACGTGATGTCCAATATCTGATTAGTGTATTTTTATCGTACACGGAAAAGCTGCTTAGCAGGCAATACAAAATAGCATAATATAAATATTTACAGATATAGTATAGATATATTTAATATAGCAAATAGTTTGATAAATAATATATCATTACTTCATTTGTTGAAAGAGAACACACGGGCCCTCCTATATTTTACTCCGAGACCGTGCTCAACTAACAAAGCTTATATTAAATGTGCTGTATCGTACAGTATAGATGGCGTTCAATCAGCAGTTGACAATGTAGCAGTTTTGTATTTTATGCCAAATAGAAAGAAATGAGAGACAAACTTTTTTGTTCATATTATTCTGTCAACATTTCTGACAGCCATCTGGTGCACGCTAAGTGAAACCCACGAATTGCAACGAATATGAACCAATATCAAAACATAAACCTTCCTAAAACGCGAAGCCAAACTAGGGAACATTGATGCGGAAACAAAATTCCTGGAAACAAATGTATTTCCAAAAAAATGTCAAGATAGACAGTGCTAAGAGAGGACAATAGGCCCTTTGCAGCTGGCCTTTAAAAATACTTTGTACAACAATATCAGGAGGGTAAGAAAAACGCTGTGCTTTGATCTTTGTCTTACTTGTTTGTTTACATATCCTATAGCTTTACAGGCTCTCCAATAACTTCTTACTCGCTCAGGAAACAATGTTTCCTGGTTTGTTCACGTCAAGAAACATGGCTAGGGAACAATGTTTCCTGGTTTGTCCACCTTCAGGAAACATGGCTAGGAAACAATGTTCCTCATTTGTCCAGCTCCAGGAAACATGGCTAGGAAACAATGTTTCCTGGTTTGTTCACCTTCAGGAAACATGGCTCGCGAAACAATGTTCCTGGTTTGGCCACAGGTTTTAGGAAACAAATGTCTGAGTAACAATACATCCTAGTTTAGTAACACTACCCTAAACTTGTTTTAGATGTAAAGTGGGTTCTTCAGTATCCTACCCATCCTGTAATCATAAATCTGGCGACAGAAGAACAAAAGTTTGGGATCACATGTGGATGGAATATGTTCCCTAGTGGTATGTGTGGCTTCAACGGGTGGAACAGGGGTAGCAGAGGATATGCGAGAATCTTGTGAACGTTTGGTTGCAGCTCTGTGTCTGTTAGAAATCAAGAAAAGATTGTTGTAAAAAACCCGATCAGAACCAGTGAGCTTCATATATACAACTGGAGTGAGAACTCGAGGCCAAACAGTGAAGATGGCGGATAATGAAGAGTTATTGGACATCAGTTCCAGTCCCTTTCTACTGTTTTGTCTGCGCGGTTAACACGAAGATGTCAAGGAGTGTGCCGAATACATTGATTTAAAGAATAACACTATGGTTTTATGAATTGATTTTTATGAACTTGTTTAGCGATACGGTGCGCTAGAAAAAAGGGGAATTTATAGCTGGGGGGAAATGGTATTACAGGTAAACTACGTGAAGCGTTCCTCTTTGGAGTTTCTAAATTGATTGCAATTTTCCTCATTACTTTTGCAATTTAAAAAACTCCTTTGCAAATTGTCCCTTGAGGAAATTTGCAATGTTGCTAAAAGCCATTTAAATTTTCCTCAGTTCCTGTTACAAGTTCCTAACTTCCTGTTCTGTTCTGCGCGTTGCAATTGGCTAACAAAAATAATCGACCAATAACAACGCTCAGAACAGTACAGGAAGTTAGGAAATTAAAACAGGAAGTTAGGAAAATTTAAAATAAAGTTTGTTGGATTGGAATATTCCAACTGCCAATAGGAACATTGCAAATTCCCTCAAGGGATTTGCAAAGAGTTTTTCAAATTTGCAAACCTAATGAGGAAAATTCCAAATGAGTTACGAAGTAAAAAGAGGAACGCTTCACGTAGTTTACCTGTAAAACTGTTTACGACCTTCATAGATTTTGGACGTCAATGGCCGCCATCTTGGCTTCACTCCAGAAATATATAGGGCTCAGTGGTCAAAACTAAACACATATTGATGTGAACATCTCACCTGCAATATTCAGGATAGCTAAGAACGTAACATTTATCCACAATACATGCAACACTGTTATCATCTTTGTGGCGTGACGCCAAGATCTCGTTCTATACACAAACAAGACAAGGCTTAAGATGTGGTAAATCTAGTACGTGCACGTGCCAACATGGGTACAAAATATGGATTATTTTTGTCAACAAAGAAGGATACAGGTGAAAAACAAATTTAAACCGGTAACAAATCCAAAGAAAAGCATAACTGTCTTTTTGTCACGACCGCGTACTAGATTTCGCTCATCTTAAGTTCGCTAGTTATTAGTAGTACACATACATGCTTCGCCTCCATGACCGAGGCTCACTTTCTGAAATGCGCAGTTCATCATTTCGCCTCACTCGCACCTGAGTGCTTCCAGTTTAACCCCACAAACATCGCTGGGTTTTCTCTGGTTTCCTGTTTCTTCCTGTAGTAACACTGGATCGATAAGAGATTGCCCTTTACAAACATCGCTGGGTTTTCTCTGGTTTCCTGTTTCTTCCTGTAGTAACACTGGATCGATAAGAGATTGCCCTTACTGGACCTCTGTGAAGAACAAAATAGAACTGATAGGCCTATCCAGTATAGATATAAGGTTAGTTTAGTTCCGTGTTCTTCTTATGAAGAAGGTTGGCTCCAGTATAAATAAAGTTCGTTTATGTTTGTGATGTTACTCTGAGTGCATCCACGCCGGGCAAGCTGAAACGTTTGCCTGATCACGGTGGACAACGAACGCGCGACCTTTGTGATACTAGTTCAATGCTCTGCCAACTGAGTTACGAGGTCGCGGGTTTGATTCCCACCGTGGCCAGGCAAACTGTTCTGTTCATCCGGTGTGGATGCACCATTGAACTATAAATAAACTGGAAGGCTAACTCAGGGGGGGAAATTGAAGCCAGTGCATTTTAGTTTTTCTGAGTTATGAGCAGAAATACTCAACACTGAACGTTGGGCTATATATCAA